TGACGAGGTCTAATTCCGAAAGCTTTCAATTGATTGAATGGTTGTGTGGGTACGATGTAGAGACTGGTATCGCCAATCCCAATGGACTAACATCGTAGGTGGCACAGTGGATAATCATATGTGCGAGAGACTGTGACATGGAAAAGTCTGTGATCACGCTGTTTCACGGAGAAAAGTCGTATTCATGCGAACATTGTTCTGTAGTGCCATGTTTGGTTCAACGGTGGCTAGTCACTTGGCATACCAACGCAGATTTGAGACTACAACTCGGTTCAAGAGTAGGTTAAAGCTTCTATTGCAAGTCTCGAGCTCAAGTGGTGCCAAATGAGAGGGATGATGATGCTTAAGCCTAGTGATAACAACGCTGAAATACGAGGATATTCATACATATAAGCTCAACTCATCAACATAACCCCGTGCTTCCCCTCGTTCACAAAAGGCCGAAATCATGGATACGAACGATTGATCAACGTCACTTATCAGGCGTTGGGTTCCCAAGCATACTATTATCAAATGCTGCAAAATGTTGTAGCCAGTCATCTCCCTGCTCTCAACAGCACCCTAGGCTATGTCAGATATAGGTCCATACACGTGTGCCGCAGGTTGGTTTCCCTTCAAGATATGGCCAATTAGCTTCTCCTGACACCTTGTCCCAATATTCAGGTAATGGCATCTTTGGGGGTTTGCAACACTCCTTCTCTTAACGCGCGTTATGTGCACTGCCGAGAAAGACAACTGTTTCCAGCACAATCTAGATCAAAGAACCTGATACCTTCACAGGGCTATTCGGGCTTTTTATCAGTCCTATGCTCCATGAAAGCCTCGAATAGTCCGTGGTTGCCATACATGCTCTTGGTCCGTTTTTTGAACTGCGTCATTGCCCACAATCTCAGTCAGCGTGCTTCCCGCGCCCAGCACCGTCGTCCACATCTCTATCTCCTCGTAAAAGCTGGCGATGCTCAGCAGGTTGTTAGAATCCCCGAGTAAGACCTGCATCTTCGGCCTCAGCCTCGGGTTACCCGCCCGCTCGCGCATTCGTCGAACCACCCTGGCTAGCCATGGAGGTACGTGCCAACGAGCGACGGTAGCCATGTTCGCCGGAGTTGACGTCCGCGATGAACACCCGGTCCGGATCGACGTCGTTGTGTGCGAATGTCCAGCGGGCCATGCTGACTATGCCGAGGGGGTCGTCACAGCAGTCAGTCGTGCGAGAGCGTCTGTGGCGAGGACACTCCCTAGCAGTGGTCGGCGGTTCAGGAGGGGGAGGGGGGAGGGTTGGACGGCGCGTGAGTCTTAGATGTAGAGGTAGAAGGAGACGTTTATAGGGTTGGGGACAAACTAGGTAGGTTGTTAGTGACGGAGGGGCGGCCGAGGCGAGAGCCGAGAGGAGGGCGACGGCCCAGGAGGAGCAAGACAGCATTTTGAAAGTGATGCAGGCTGTATGTCTTCAGTGTGAAGATCTACCTGGCGGCCAGCAGCCCCGGGGATGCAGCTGAGAGACGACTGGCATAAGGCTTCTACGTCAGTCACTAGAGGTTATGCAGCTTCAAGTCCACTGGTATATGGAGTATCTAATCATACGTAGTCAATAATGGCGTGGTATTTATGGTCTCTCTTTATCTTCACCATCCAATCATTGAATGACGCTCTACGTCACTTGTTTCGTATTCTTATGAGGGATTACTGTTTATATCCTATGAACAAGGCTCAAGATAATTCTTCTCGAGTTAAGATACAATTAAGTCTGAGCTTTCACGTAACGAAGCGTAAGCTTTACGATATGTTTACCCTAGTCTGCACTTACAAGATGCCCTGCTCTCGTTCGTTTCCACTAGTATCCTATTAAAACCTTTCCATAATCGCAAATCCCAACTCCTACCCCGCCATCAACGGCATCAGCAGCGTTCACCGCATTTGTAAAACGTGGGACACTATCCTCTGAGGTTTTCTGGAATCTCATTGACAAGCAAGGCAAGAACGGCGGTTCCCACCCAGAGTTCGACAGCAACAGTGTCCCCACTGATGACAGGTACTTGACTCTGAAGCTCGCCATCAATGGCATGGTTCTGTATGTTCCCTATTTAATTCCTCTATAAAATGCTTTAACAGTAGTTTAGCCAACCCTGCTACCCCAACTTTATCCCGGCCGCGAAAGGTTCAACTCATGACGGTTTCCCGAAGTGCCTCACTCTCGCTATTTACAATGTCGATCGAGTCTAATTGAGGTTATAATTCTTGTTCATGGTTGGCGAAGATGTCTTGGTCAAGGAGAGAGAGCCGCGATGGGTCTCGACATGCAGGTTTCGTGCCTTCTCTGAGGCTTCTCCCGGAAACGGGAAATACGGGGCCGCGGAGAACTGTCCCGCCGGGAACCCGTGGATGAGGGACGCCGGAGAAAACGCGACCTGAGGTCGGGTGGTCTATTTGGAGAGGGCTGGAATCCGAGCTAGAGTACTCATGTTGAGACTGGTCCGTCTTGATATAGTTAATATCAGTCGGGTCATCCAAGCAGCCTATCAATGTTGATGTGTTGATTGACTAGCATACCAATTCGTTCATGAAATTGCAGGAGAGGACGTGAGCATGACGATGCAACGCCACTCACTCTTTGCCGAAATCTTCAAAAACCCTTTGATTTTGATGACCGCAAACTCCATACAACGCATGATTTGCCCTATTGCACAATATTATGTCAATTGTCGGCCCAAGCCAAGTCTATGTGCCGTTCTAAGACCCGCCTCCCCTCCCTCCCCTCTAATGAGTCGCAACACCTGGAGCGGCTCGTCCCCGTTATTTTCTCTTGGCAAACGAAGAAGCAGTTTTCTGAACCTTGGCTGGCGGCGCGGCCTCCGCGTCGCTGTCGTCGTCGTCGTCCGAATCTTCCACGTCCTCGTAGTCCACGTCGTCCTCCTCGACAACCTCCTCGCCTGAGCTCTCGTCCTCCGCCACCATGGCGTCTTCGTCGTCGTCTTCGTCATCCGAGTCGCCGATGAAGCCGTTTGCGGCGGGGACCTCTTCGTCGTCATCGTCGGCGGCCAACAGAGCCTTTCTTGAGCTGGGGCCGTTGGCCGCGTCGGCGCCCTCCTCGGCGTCTTCCTCGCCCTCGACGTAGATGGCGCCCTCCTCCTCGTCGTCCTCGTCGGCGTCGTCGGTCTGGCCGGCGCCGCCCCTGCGTTGCCGCCCATTTCTGAGCAGCATCTGCGCCTCCAGCATGTCCAGCTTGCCCTTGAGGGCGAGCAGGCTGGGCAGGCCGCGCGAGCGTTCGCTGAGGACCTTTTGTAGGGAGACTAACCGCTCGAGGACCTTGGGCTGGACGGCCAGGGCGCCGCCGTGTGCGACGAGGGTCCACTTGACCCAGATCATGAGGCTGCCTGCGCGGCCGGGCCGCCTGTGGAACCGGGCGGCGAGCTTGGTGAGGAGAATGCCGGCGAGACTGCTGTCGAGGCGCTCAATTGTCTGCTGGATGGTCTCGAGCTGGGTGATTTGCAGACAGGATTCGAGGAGGTCGGTGTCTTCGGTCTTGAGCGCCTGGGTGAGGACGGTGCTCAGGGAGGATAGCGATGGCGGGGCAAGGTTCTTTTTTGATGACTGCGAGACGATGGCCTTGCTGGAGTCGCCTTGTTGCGATAGGATGGCGGGAACGTCGATTGTGCCCCGCAGGAGCTCGCCAAAGGTGGGCGATCCCGCTTCCTCCTCGTCCTCGGCGCCTTCAGCGTCTGTCTTGGTTTGTTGTTGTGTGGGGTTTTCGGCGTCGTTGTCCTTGCCGTTCACCGTCTCCGTTGCGTCGCCAGCCTCGGCGTCGGGTGCGCCCATCTCCTCGTCAGAGACATCCTCGTCGCTGTCATCATCGGAGGAGATCTCAATCGCCTCGTTGTCGCCCCTCAGTGCGGCTTGTAACGAGTCCGTTGCGGAGACGGCTGCCCTGCTCTCGTCGATTGTCGTCTTGGATGCCTTGGGGGTGGACTTAACGACCGGGGCCGCGAATTTGCCGGATGACCTTCGCTTCGAAGACATTGTGGCGAATCGGGGTATCTCGAAGACGTTGGGGTTGGCGTTGTGGTGGTGGTGGGAGAGAAAAAAGGTGGGAAAAGTCGTGATCGAGGTCCTCTCCTCCAACAGCAACGAGAGACCGGCCTGAACTTTTTTTTTCTGCCGGCTGCCAATTTTTTTCGGTTCGGCGCATTCGACCGCCCGCGGGGGGGAAAATGCTGACATAATAAGCTCAGTTGGATCTGCTGTGTCCGCGTACGATGTCGGAACACGGAATTTCGAATATCCGACACACTCTCTCTGTGCTTAGCTAATACTCAAGTCGTGCGGCTTGAACACTGCGTATGACTAAGGAACCCGGGTAGGTGGGCAATCGGGTCTCTAGCACGTGTCATGGAAGGAAGGCTCAGAGTTCGATTCTCGGAAACCCAGTCCGGAACGCGTTCGTTTCTGCGTTGGGCATTCCTCAAGGTAGCTGGGTAGGTAGACATCTACATGGTGTCTTCCGCTTTCCAAACACTTGGTTTGCTTGCTGAAATTTCGCCTATGCCGCCTCGTGATGGCTCAAGCACATGCAGCGACGACCTGAGATGAGGCGCGGCGGCTGTGCGCGGAGCCTAGGTTTTTCGGATGGAAGCTATTCGCGAACATGCTTAAGCCTCAGGCCGGTGGCTGCACGCCGGGGTCACCAGAAATCCATGACCAAACGATGGAAACGGGGGCCGTGATTGGCTCAGGGAAGCGACTTCCCTCAATCCAGCGCTTCAAGCAATGGCCATTGGCTGACACGACGCTCGAGCAGGCGTAGCCTCCGTCTCGTTCTGCTATGCCACATTTGTCTCATCCAGACCCACATAGACGCTGTGATTGGCCGACAAGGCCGTAACTATCCCTGTCGCATACCCTGGCCAGGGTAAACTGTCGAGCGGCGACTGGGGTCAGCGCAACTTGACGGGCTTCTACAAATAAGAAGTGGCCCCTAATTCAGATTTTCGCGCTTTTTGATGCTAAAAAGTCCTGGGAAATTCCAAAAGGAAGCTCACAGTCATCTGATCTGTCACGAGACCTGCACCAAAGAAAGCATCGCTCCATACAGCGCCGCCACCGTCCTTGCTCGAGCTTCCTTTCATTTCTCGGTACGTACCGACTCTTGTTTCCTGTCGCATGCATAGCCCCCAGCACATAGTGTACATCTTCCTTCTCTTTTCCTACTCTTGCTGCCACCACCATCAACACGACCCATCCTTCCCATCGCGTCGACGCCTCGCGTTGCTTCCCCTCCTGTTGCTGGTACTGCGTTTGCTCTTCATCCGCACCTCCCTCTTCTCTTCCCTCTTCCTAGGCGGACAGCGTTGGTCCTGCTTCGCCCCGAGCAAGGCATGGCTAGCATTGCGTTTGGATTACGTTGTGTATATTCAGCAGAAATGAAAACGAAAAGAAAAATCCATGTTACTGCGCACCAGACCTGCACCTCGCACGAACTCAATGTCTCTGCTCTCTTGGTCATTTTAGAATTAGTCGAGATGGCTAGCATTCGTTGCATTGGCTCAGTCGCACATCATCCTCACCTCACTACTCCACCAGCCTCGGTCACCTCCCTTACACACGCGATCGACGAGCTCAGCCACAGCCAGCTCCTGCTTTCTTTCCTAACACTGACATAGTTTCTTGTGCACAGGTACGGAGTAGCAAACCGCAAACCGGTGTACGGAAAGCAAACCAACACGTCGAGAGACGAAGAGGGGAAAAAAAAAGCCTCGATAGCTTCGGGTAAGTGAACAAACAGGCTCCGTGTCCACCGGCTCTCACCGTCACGTCCCTGCCAATACGCTTGTTCAACATGGCTTCCCGTTTCGCATCACACATATTCAATACTTGCCCACAGTTCCACATCACATCCTGGGCCCAGTCACATTTCCCAGCCTCGCGTTTTTCTGTCTAGACCCGGGAGCGGACACATGTCCTCATTGGCCAGTGCCTCCATAGCGTGCATAAATATGCACTTTTATGTCACCACTTATGCACGCCCCCCGGTCCGCCGCCCTCTTCCATTCAACTTGCACTTCCAACCTTTTCGTCGCAAATTTACGATCTCTTCCCTCTTTTTTTTCCCCAAGTCCTCCCTCCCCCCCCCCCCCTCGGACCTCCAACCTGCCCGACCGACCTGGTACTTCACTTGTCCTCTGTCTGGCTGGCTTCCCTCTCACTAACCACAGACACACTCACACACCCCCAGTCGTCGATCACCCACGACGCACTGACCGCCCCCCCCCCCCCCCCCCTCTAACCTTCTCCCACTGTCTGGTCCCTTTTTTCTGCCCAACGAGTGCCACTATCCTTTTTTCTGCCGCGGTTTTTAGGTTCCACCCCTTCTGTAGTCGCCAGTCGCGATCGCGCGTTCTCGTCCCTCGCCTCCGATAAGGCCAGATAACCGGCTGTCCGGGGACCACCCTTACCACACCCGTCCTTTCTCATAAATACCACGCGCCGCCATCTCGGCCAAAAACCACTGACGTGCACGCGATTTCCTCCGCTCAGGTCCCTCCACCTCCCCGTATCGCCAAAAACTCACACGGCCGCACCTTCCCACCTTGCCACCCGCGACGCGATACGACACGGCCGGATTAATCATTTCACCTCGCACCACCCACCCCCCCCATCTATCTCATCGATCGCATTGTTCTCGGAATCAACAGTCATCGTCAACCTTGCGACACTGCGGTTCAATACCAATTGCGCATTGCCAACCATTGCCGGCGCATGCACGTATTTCTTGCGATTTCTCTGATACGTATGCATCCCGTATAATCGCTGTCGCATTTCACTCCTGCGCGCGGAACCACACATCGCAACGCCCCTCCCCGAGCTTGCTTCTTTCCCTTGGCGACGGCAGCTTCCTCGCGACGGCGCTTGCTCCGGTAGTGCCTTTCTGACATCAGCCACATCCTCGACACGATTGTTCCTGCCCCGGGCCTGACCTTCCTAAACCCACCTTTTGACAATCCGTTCCACGACCTCCCCCCTCCGACCGTCGAGAACAACTTTGCGCTCCTTTTTCTTCTCGTCAATATTCGTCGTCAATTTCGTGTCATCGCCGTCGCACCGAATATCACCTGCGCGCGTCGCTGCTTTCATGTCGCGTCGCGCACAGTAACTCCTCTCTTACCACAATCACCACATGGCAGTCATGGCGTCACCTCAATCAGAACGTGCCACCTCTGATCAGAAGCTCGCCGAGTCTACATCAGCCAAGGAGGACAATAAGCCTGAGACAAACGGGTAAGTCGCATCTAGCACTGGCGCATCATTTGTTTAGTGTTGCGACGTCGTTTGCATCCATTCTTGCGCGCATTCTACCTTCGCCCACGATAAGGCCCTAACATAATGACCTCTTCATAGTCACGCTTCGCCTGCCAAGAATACTGATGATAATCCCGCGAAGTCGCCCACTGTGAATGGCGACGGAAAGCATGATGAACCCAAAGCATCGGATGATGCGGATCTGAGTCTTTCAAAGGACGACACTAAGATTGACGCGCCCGCCAAGGATGCTGACAAGTCCTCGGAGAAAACCGAATCAGCAAAGTCAGACGAGCAAACCAAGGAGCCAAGCAAGTCCCAGAGTCCTGCTCCTGCGGAGCCATCCAAAGACGTCGACATGACCGATGCGCCCGAGGACAAGTCGGAAAAGAAGTCTGAGAAGGCGGACGACAAGGCAGGCGAGAAATCTATTGAAGATACAGCCGAGGCGTCTGAACCCAAGAGCGCCACCGAGTCCAAGGATATCGAGATGACCCAAGACGAAGACAAGGTTACCGGGACTAAGGAGGGAGAGTCATCGCCTGCTACGCAGGCAAAGGCCGCAAAAGAGGTAGATCTGCAACCAGCAAGCTTGTCGCAACTGGCCATTGACAATGACAAGGACAAGCCTTCGGAGCCTGCTGATGCCGATGTGCCCATGGCGGAGGCTCCTTCAACGGCAGGCAAGGTTTCTCGCGAAAGAGAAGACGACGTCGATGTTGAGCCTGCGCCCAAGCGCGCCAAGACGGACTCTAACGACGAATCTTCAGCCGTCGTCGATAACATCGAGTCTACGGTGGAGGTGAAGCCACAAGGCGCGCAGGACGATCTCGCAAAGGGCGAGGCGGCCCTTGAAGATCTTCCCCTCTGGAACGACCCTGAGCGCGACCCCAAGCCCTTCACGTCTCATCAAACACGAGAATTTCGCAAGGTGTTGGCCGGCGTGAAGAAGACGAAGCACGGCGCACACTTCAAGGACGCCGTCGTCAAGATGTGGCCTAGTCTCGCAGAGAGCTATGTCATGCGCGTTAATAACCCCATGGACATCGGCGAGCTCGAGCGCAACCTTCGCGACAACAAGTACAGTACCTTGCGAGAGTTCAAGGATGACCTGGGCAAGATCTACAAGAACTCGGTCATTTTCAACGGCATCAACAACGAGATTACATCTGCTGCGCTTAATGTGGTTAAGCTCGCTTGGACACGGGTTTGTGACATTCCTCCTGCCGAGCCCGCCAAGTCCAAGCCAGTACCCAAGCCCTCGCGCCACTCCGAGTCACGAACATCCGCCCCTCCGCCCCCGGTCCGCAGACAGCCTAGCATACCGGCTGCGAGCCCCCCTGCTAAAGCCGAAGCCGAGGCTTACGCCGTTCCTCCCGGAGGTGTGCCGCAGGTTCGCCGCGCCTCGACACAGAACGATTTGGACCGGCCCAAGCGTGCCATCCAGCCCACCAAAAACCGCGACCCAGACTACTCGGCCAAGAACTTCAACAAGAAGAAGCTGCCGATTGAACTTCAGTTTGCCTACGAGGTTTTGAACGAGTTGATGGACGCCAAGAACGCTCATTGCAACTTCGCATTCCTTGCCCCAGTCGATCCAGTGGCGCTCGCAATCCCAACATATTTCACCATCATCAAGCGACCCATGGACCTGGGTACGATCATGACCAAAATCAAGAGCTATGACTACCAGAGCATCAAGGACTTCCAGACAGACATTAAGCTTGTTTTCAAAAACTGTTACAAGTTTAACCAGCCTGGTCAGCCAGTCTACGAGCAAGGGCAACAACTTGAGATCATCTTCAGGAACTTGTGGTCAAAGAAAGACCAGTGGATCGCCAAGCACACTCCGGCAAAGCAAATCTCCGACGGCTCGAGCCGTGAAAGCGAAGACGAAGCTGAGGAAGAAGAGGAGGAGGAGGCGCCTGCCACCACAGTTGACGATGCCACGAACAAGACGATCCAGATGCTCGAAAAACGACTGGAGGAGGAGACAAAAAACCTTGCTCAGCTTTACAAGACAGCGGACATCGCCGGTGACACCATGATTGACCTCCAGCAATCCCTGATCAGCACCATTCGGTCCCGTATCTTGCAGGAGAAGCAGAACCTCGTGACTCAAAAGCCAGCCAAGGCAGCAAAGGCCAAGCCGCCAAAGCCAGCCAAGCAAAAGGCTAGCGGCGCTCCTAGCAAAAAGGCGGCTGCGGCCCCTGGGCCGAAGAAGGCTGGGGGCGGTGCGTCCAAGAAGCCGAAGCAGCGTAACATGACACAGCCCGAAAAGGACGCCATCGCCAATGCTATCAACGATCTCGAGAGCCCTCATATTGAACGCGCTATCGACATCATCAAGAAGGATACTGGTCAATCGGTACGAAAGCTGCCGATGTCACTGCACTCTTAGACTTGATTTGCTAACACCCATCGCAGGAAAACAGCAGCGGAGAACTCGAGCTCGAGATCGACCAACTTACCAACGAGGCCCTCCATAAGCTTTGGGACCTTTGCAAGAAAGCTTTGCCTACCTTTGCCAACGGCCTTCCGAGTGCGCCTGCTCGCGAACCATCACCCGTTAACAGCGCCCCCGCCAAGTCGTCTGGCAAGCCCACCAAGCCCAAGAAGAACAAGCCCATGAACGCCCAAGAACAAGAAGCTCGCATCGCCGAGCTTGAGAGGCTTCGCAATATGTACGATGGTAATCCCAAGGGTGATCAAGAGCGCCCTGGCAGCTCCGGTCGCACAAATGAAGCTCCTGTTCACGATAATGACAGCGAGTCCTCCGATGACTCGGAAGAGGAGTAATGCTGAACATCAAAGTATTCACGTCAAAGCTTTGACGTGCGGGTAGAAGGAACGGAAATGGAGAGAGGATGAGGTCGGTTGTTCCCAACGACGTGGATCAAGCGCTCAACGGGCTCAAATAAAAACTGCAACGTCTGGGTGCCAGTAGATTTGCGATACCGGGCATCACCCTCGGTCGACCCCACACTTAACTCGTTCTCTAAGAGGGTCTTGTACCCTGGTCTCATGGGTGGCGGCTGTCTTGCCTTCAACGAAACCTACCACGCGGCGGTGGAAGGCAGACTCGAGGAAAAGCCGCAGAGCGCAATTGAGCTATGAAGAGATCTTTGGTTTGCAGGGCGCCGTTACCGGATGTCCACTGGAGATGGCATCTTTCTTTGCTAGCTAGCGGCGAGTTAAGCGAAAGCTAGCGCGTTGAGCTGTAGAATATGATGTATAATATCCTTCGCCTCACACTATGTGCCCCGTGATGTCCCTACACTCATGATGTGGCTTTGAGACCACGGCGAACTGCATGAAGCTTCCCTTGTCGATTGATTGGCCTCGGTCAGTGGTCTGACATTTCAAGGTGAAGTCGCCGGTGTGCAGGAGTCGCCGTAGTAATGTCCAGTTGGTCTAGAGTGGAGCGGTGAAACATCAGTCATCGACGACAAATCAAAACGAAAGTTTCCTCATTTGACGAAGCATTGTGCGATGCTGACTCTCGCCATGCGAGACTTCAAGGTCTGCTTTTCTTTGATCGAGTCAACGGTTGGCGGGGAGGGGGGAGGAGGCATACAAACATTTTGATCGGTCTCTGGGACCTCTGAGTCGAGAGTCGAGTACCGGCGGGGTGCAGGAGCAGTCTGCCGAGTCCAAGGAGGGGAGGAAAGAAGGCCGAGGCCCGGCTTGCAAGATCGGAGAATGGCCAGAGAGGTCCCGGTGGTGAGTACCCATTCCGGTCATGGACGTCATTTCGGGCTTTTTCCGAATAGGCGATCTAGCTAGTTTCCCGATATCAAGTGCTGTTCTAACAGGAGCATTCAGTTTTAATTTCTTTTTCTTTTTCTTGCTTTCTCAAATGGTCTCAAAAGAGACCTTTCCAAACACGGTACACAAAGTCGTCCTGGCCTAGTGACATCCAGACCAGCTGCCGTGCTAGCGTGGTCTGTACTACATCATATACTAGGCTCGGTTGTGAACAGGCTCCGCTAGATTACAGACACCAACTACTTTCTCCCCGCTGGCTTAAAGTTGACGACCTAATAAATGGTTAAATACATTGATCCGTGTCGGCTTCGTTGATGTATGGTTGTCGCCACATCAGTAGCCAATCAGCATACGGCCAAAGCATCAGAATATGTGACCCGATATAAAATGGCATTTTTATACCACTTGCATTTGCCACAACCAAAGGCCTCGAAGGCTATGGCATTATCACTTAAAAGCTGAGCATACAGCTGCACGTTTACACGCGCAAGGCGTTTTCCCATCTGAACTAGTTAACACGGCCCATGGTAATTTGGGAACGGCCTTGGAGTGTTCAACAAGCACGGCTTTTCGGCTCAAGGGGTAAAGCTGCATGTCTTCCAGCTGACGTACCCCTTCAGAATACTTTGTCCACATTGAGCAGTGGTTATTCCATAACGGTTAGGAACGCCTGCCAAGGACTGTCTAAGCATGCGAGAAAAAATTGCACAATCTATAGGTGTGGAAACAAACCAATCAGAACTCCTCGGCGTGTCAGAGTGAGCGAGCAGCCTGCTAAGCCACCCCAGCAAACGTAGATGTATTCCTTCCTTGGCGTAAACAGAGATAGGGATTGGGGCCTTTTGATCTTGGGTGTGGAGGCGGTAGCTTGAATGGATATTACTGTTGCCGCCCTCCTGTAGGCTGATCGCCTCCCGTCAACACACGTCGTATGCGAACTTTCACATTACGAAACCTCGGCGCTGTCGCAGGAGAATTAATAATAAAATTCGGAATCATCGGCATGGTAACAATAAGGCACTCTTTGCTTGTGTGTTCGCATGGAAATCTGCCTTTCGTCGCCTTCCTTTTTCGAATCATAACGATGGCATTTCACAGGTTGCCCACGGAGCATACGTAAGCCCATCTCATCTCTGTAGTTGCAAGATTATTCCCTAGACCCCATAAGATTGAGGATTGTGATGACTATCTCAAGAAGCACTGCCGCCCTTGCGGGTGGCGGCTTAGGAGAATCGGCAGGCTGACCACTGTTGCGGTTTCTAGTCACTACTGTTGCAGTTACTAACGTGGCCATAGTCCATGTTTTTATCAGCTGTGCAGAAGCAATTGTCAAATATTGTCAGGCGATGCCAAGGGTGGCAACATCGAATATACTCACGTGAATAAGGGGACGCAATGCCAAGTGTTTGGAAGAACGAACAGCTCAGATATGGTATGCGGAGCAGGATTCTGCGCATGTCAGCGCTGTCCCAGATGTGCAGCATGATGGTATCTCGAGAATTGTTCAAGTAAAAACTAAAAAACTGTCTGGTCATCAGTTCTACGTATTTCAGCTGGTTATGGACAGAGCCACCCAGCCTGTTTGGCCGCTACAGCCAGTAATAGAGTTGCTGATTGGACCTCTGCATACCTTTGCCACATTGTATTAAGGGATGATCTGCGGTCAGCAGGCCTGTGTTTAGTCTAGCTGTTAAAAGACACTGGGTCTCACAGCGAGGTACTTATCAGTCAATGGACTACGTGGTTCGGATGCGAAGCCGGAGTCGCGCCAGAGGAGAGAACCGAAAAGCCAGGAACTTGATGCCATTGTCTCTCAGTGGTTTACGGCGGAAGCAAGCGATAGGCTCGCAGCGCAGGATACAAGCTTGACGGCATGCATCTCGGGAGCGCGGCAAGCCGTTGCGTCCCCATCGGGTCTAGTTGAATTAAGCGCCATGTTCTCAGGGTGCCGCTTCCTGACGGTCAGAGCCGAAGACTAGCGTGGACCGATCCTGTCATCGGAACATTGCGGCCGTGATGTGGGGCCGACTCGGCGGTCTGGTTGCGTTATTTCCCCCAGTCGCATCGTTTCTCAAAACATTAGTAGTAGCGAAATCATCTACAGAACCTCGGTACTGCTGTAGAATATCTTCATGCAACGATACGAGTGTACCTTCATTCATTCAACCCCTAGTGGGCTCTGAGATACGAACCGTTGAGATGCACACTTCGGGTGAAGCGGCGCGTATCGTATATGCTGGATACCCCGACATCCGATAAGTGACTAACTTCCCAGCCAATATTTCTCATCCATCTACGTGTCATGTTTTTTTTTGACAAAAGATAAACCCTCAGCGGTCCACTCTTGGAGCAGCGGTCACTGGCTCGATCACAGTATGATCATCTCCGCCGCAGCATCATTTACGAGCCGTGCAGCCACCAAGACATGTATGGAGCTGTATTGAGACCACATACAGAGCTGGTAGACTCGGGAGAGGCTCACATGGAGGCGTTATTTCTTACACACGAAGGCTACGTTGTTATGTGCGGTCACGCCACCATTACCCTCGGCAGGTTTCTTGTCGATTGTACCGACGAAACCATTTTCCCCCGGCGCAAAGACCTGCAGTTTGACAAAGACGAGAAGCAAGTTGAATTCCGCTTACACGCCCTAGTCGGACTTGTCTGTATGACGGTTCCTATTGTCGAGGTAAACGGGTTCTGGCGAATGGTCACCAGCCGTCTGATTACAATTTTCTCTGTACCCACGTTTGCGACCGCCATCGATCTTTCCGTTTCGATCCCAGTAAGCCTGCGCTGGGCAGAGTTGGGTGACGACACACATGTAACCGTCGACGTTGGTTTCGGCGGTGCATTTTACGCGATTGCCCCCGCCTCTGCGTTGGGGTTCCCTGCTTCACTGGCCAAACCCGATATCCCAGCGCAGCGCTTAGTAACGCTGCAAAGAAGTTCAAAGAGGCTTTCAATGCTTCTTCTGACCTCCGGGCTCGTCTACATAATCCGGACGACGAAAACCCGCAATACTTATACGGCATCATGGTCACGGATACAGGTAGCAACGACGAACTTCCCACAACTCCTGGTTGCACTGGGGCAGAGACGGGACTCTATTTCTTTGGCGACCAGCAGGTCGATCGTAGCCCAACTGGATCCGTTGTACAGGCGAGAGTGGCGTTGGCCATGGCGAAATGTCAGAGGAAGCTGGACGAGTCATGGACGTATCACAGCCTGGTGTCGAAAGCTATAGGGGGCTACAGGAATGCTTTTGTTGGTAGGCCGGTACAGGAGCTAAAGGTCAGCAGAAACAAGGCTTGGCGAATTGAGGTGAGCGGACAGGCTTCCTACATTGGAACAAGCACATTTATCGCAGAGGAAGACGACGATATTGGCAAAGGATTTTCTTTTCGGTCGCTAGGCATATAATTCCAAGGATGCAAGCTTTTCTTCCAGGCCAAAAGCGGGCAGCAAATGCGAAATAGCACTGGAAAATATGCCATATATCTCGAGCAATCCTATTTCATTCATGTATAGAAATTGCTCAAAGGTACAAAAGCAAAAGATCGACGTTGGCCTGATTCGAACAGACGCTCCCGAAGGAACAAGATTTCTAGTCTTGCGCATTAGACCACTCTGCCACAACGCCGTTAGATGAGCCCACATTCTGGCGGGGTTGAGAACCGGGCCAATCTTAGACTTCATGATGGTATGGCGTGATTGCCATCTAGGGCTGGGATTGAAACAAGTTTCTGAATCATGCAATCCATTGCACTCTCAGTAGCGAGGATTTAGATTCTTTGCAAGTTAATTGTGGTCATGCATGGTGGTATTTGCTCAACGATTCCAGCTGTCAGACTGCAAAGCGTCGATGAATAGTTATTGAGTTGATTAGCCCTAATGACTTTCTAACATACGTCCAAGAACACTGAGAATTTTCAGTACCAACCCAGGTTGATGATTTGACTAAACAAAAAATCCAGTAATGGCTTTGACAACATCTTCTGGTGCTTGTTCCGGGATGTAATGTCCAGAATCAACACTGCTGCCTTTCACCGAAATGTCCTTACTCGTAACGTTTTGCCACTCTTTAACGGCTTCAAAACACTTCTCGATCACGCCATATTTGCCCCAGAGCACCATCAAGGGAGACTGGATCAGCCTCCCAGCCTCAAGGTCCGCCTCCGCCTCTTCGAGGTCTAACGTCGCACTTGCACGGTAGTCGTTGCACATGCTGTGTACAGCAGCCGGTTGCTCCATCACACTGGCATAGTAGTCAAAGTTTTCCTTGTCGAAAATCTCCAATGCCTTGGGTTGGCGGCCGCCCATAAAAAGCTCCAAGAACTGCCTCGGCGATGCGTTGATGAGGTTCTCGGGAAGCGGCTCCTGCTGAATCAGGAAAAACCAGTGGAAGTACGCCTTGGCAAATTCGAAGTTGGTCGTCTTGTACATGACGAGGGTCGGGCAGATGTCGAGAAAGATGGCCTTGCGCACGCGGCCGGGAAAGTCGACGCAGAGTTTATGTGCAACGCGGGCGCCGCGGTCGTGCGCGCAGACGAAGAACGGTTTGTTGGCGTAGCCGAGGTGGTCCATGACACTCACGCAATCGCGGGCCATCGCGCTCTTGGCATAAGAGGCCACATCGCTTGGTTTTGACGACTTGCCATAGCCCCGGATGTCGATCAAGACAACAGTGTACTGTTCGATGAGTTGCTCGGCAACTCGATGCCACATGTGGTGGCTTTGAGGGAAGCCGTGGAGTAGAAGGAGGGGCGGGAGTGTGGATGACGAATCCCCGCTCTTGATGCCGTAAATTGTCACTTCCGGCGAATCCTGCGTGGTGACAGTAAATGGTTGGAAGCCTTCAAACATTTTCGGACCAATCAATAAGAATGCTAATCGAAGTGGGCTTGTTCCTGGAGACTTTGTGCGGGCGATGGTCTGTCCAAGTTTCTCGCTGATTTCATAGATATATGACTGAAGAGTGCGCCCTTCGTGGACATGCGGGAAATATATTTCGCGAGCAGTACCCAGCCGCCCACTAAGACCATAATGCGCATGTGTTTCAAACGTTCCTCGCACACGGCCGATTTTGACTTATTCACCAATACAAGCGCAAAAGGACGGCGCTAGCCTAGACATTCTTGCTTGGTAACGTGCATTTTTATTGGGCGTGAAGCCTTGTTGCTGTCGCTACTCAATTGCGGGTGAATAATTTGCCTCGGAATTCCCTGTGCCGAAATAAAATCCACCGTACTGTTTTTACGCGCAACATCCGAAATATGTTTCGAGTCTATACACTCCTCGGATGCCGATCTCCTTGAAGCATGATAATTCAAGGATGCCGGCAGACATCAGACTGAGTTTGCCCAGAAGTTGCAATGTCGTTCCATATCGGACTCTTGTGTGGTGGGTTGAGAATGACAGTCGCACAATGTTTGGCGTGTTCATACTCGTGAACAACCAAATCGAGGAACGCTGCAGCCTGAAGAAACGGATAGATGGAATGGGTCATATCTTGACTGATGGTAATCTAAACCGGGAACAAGAGTCCAAACTGGTCCGGCTTATCGTCGATGGTCTCGTCGCGGGTTTCTATCACCACCATCATCATCCTTATGGAAGTGAAAGTCTGGCGTTCCCCTTAGAGCGTTGAAAACATTGTTTTCAGCATGTCCGAAGTCAGATTTTCACTAGATAAATCATACAACATAGCGTTTATAATGGTACCTGATTATTAGGAGAGCTGTCAAGGTCATGTCCATAAAAGAGGATCATCCATTCACTGTATAGGTAGATAAACAATCATATCTAAGTAATGATGGGGGTGTCTGTAGTACATCCATGGACGATCGGTTTCATCACCGAGATTTATACCTTATTAATTCGTAGTTTATTCAACATATATATCGGTTTATGCAACGTTCTATGTCAGACCTCACAACAGCTTGTTCTCCTCATCCAAGCCAGCTTTCCACGCCTTATAGTCGAAGCCAAGCGCTTCTAGTGTTTTTACTTCATGCCTCTTCTCACCTAGCTTCCGCGATGCAATCTTGATCAATGGAAACCGCTCTCTGGTCCATCTCTTTTCATCATCCCAAAACGGTGGGATCTTGCCCACACCGTCATTCTCCAACCCGGGCCTCTTCTCTGCTTCGAGACTTCGTGCGTGAAGCATATTGATGTACTCTAGATCCTCGGGAAATGCGAGATTGTGCAAAACCTTACCCTCCCCCTTGTCCTTGAGCATACGCGCCTCCCACTCTCTCATTACGATGCGGCTTGGTAAGCGCACCCGGTCCGCCCACACGCGTGCGACATATGCTGCCTGGCCTTCGGAGACGGGAAACGGAACGATTCGCTGCGGGATTCCAGCGAAGGCAAGTGTCGGGTCGTCAATGTAGAAAATATGCTCGTACAAATTGCGGGCATAGGCGCCATCAGTGACGACTGGCGGGTCGAGGTCGCGGATAAAGGGAAAGCTATAAAAGTAGCCCGTGCAGAAGATGACGCCGTCAATGTCCGATTCGACTTCGCCGTTGACAAAGCGCACTTTGCGGCCGTCTGGGATGAACTCCGCGATCTCGGGGACCATCTTCGCCCACGATGAGCGGTCCTCACTTGGCGTGTTGGGCACTGTTTTCTCGGAGACAATAATTGGAAGTTTGCAGACGCTTGAGATCTGCGCGCTCAAGTCGATGCCGGATGCAGAGTTGCCAACGATGATAACTTTCTGCGACAGGGTGAGCAGCTGGATCTGACACATGATTATGTATTGCACTGCACTCATCTCACCTTATTATCATATTGTGTAGCATTTCTGTAGAACTTGGAGTGTGAAATCGATTCTGGGTGAGCCTTATCGAAATCGGCAAGACCAGGGATATCAGGGATGAAAGGGTCGTTGTAGTGACCACTTGCGACCAGGACGGCGTCAAACTGAGCGTTAGTCACCTCGTCCGTCCTGAGATCCCGCGTTTCGACCTCCCAATACACCCGATCGTCCTTGATCACCTTCTTGGAAGACAGCACTTGGGTTGACAGTGAGACGGTAGGCTTCAGCTCTTCAGCATAGTCCTCAAGATACTTCTTCACTATTTGGTGGGGAGGGAATAGAGAAGCGTCAGAGGGAAACCTCTGATCCGAGTAGTTCATTAAGGTGTGCGGGATATTTGTCTCCAAATAGTCATATACAGGAGACACGAACTGCTTGGCTTCATGACCCTCAACGGCGATGGCCGTGTCTGGGTTCTTAGTCGGCCGCGTTCTTGGGATACTGAAGTCACTGTCGATGACGTTTAGAGAGCTGTACGCCCAGACGCCACCGACAGTGTCCCTTTGTTCGTAAACTTGGACCTTGGAGAATTTTTTCTCCGCCAAAAGGTACCTATTGGATATCGTGTGAGAAGCTGCAATGTGTGATAGGACCGGCACGGCTTACTTCGCGGCGGCCAGGCCGCACGGTCCGGCGCCGATAACGGCGACTCGGTCGACGTTAAGCTTATCCTCGAGGTATATGGACGACATGGCGGGGTGAAACCGAATTTTACCACTGGGGGCCGTGAAGTATCGCAGCAATAATAACGATGAAGGATATCGTAGCGATGGAGTTCCCAGGACAAGATAGGTGAGAGACCCCTGGGTTATATGATTTACTGGCCTCACTGAGATATTTTAAGCTGGTGATGGTATATCGGCCGATTGCAGTCCCGTATCTTCAGATCTCGGCTGACAAGACGTGTCTTACGTAGTAGGCCAGCGGTCTGCCGCCGGACAGACGGCTAGCCCCTCGAATCACGAGATGCGTGGCGACCGACACGAGTCGGACTTGGCCCGACAGCGCTAGGATTGGTAATTTGGTGAGAGCTGGGGCACTAGAATGGCGGGGCCTACTCCACAAGCTTCCAGTCAGTGAGTGGCCTTGGGACGAACATCGTTCCTCATGCAAGACATGAGTTTCTGGTCTTGGCCCTGACTTGTCTCGTTTAAAACTTACTAATGTCACTCAAAACCAAAGCCTCTAAGCCCATTTTACAGACTTTGGCAACACTTCAACCCATCTGCGTCTCTTCTCCTGTCTTTACATGAATCAAATCAGAAGAACTCTAAGGAAATATTGAATCTGCATGGCGCATCCCGGCAGCGGGGCCAAATTGGGTCAACTGGCTGGCAAAACGGCCAAGAGGCGGACGCTCATTCGCTGCCCGTGAGCCGCTATTGTAATGGCGTGCTCTATGCCTGCTTGCCCGGCCAGCTCAAGCAAGGCCTTCCAAATCCCCCCCTTCGGATCTACGCGCAAGATGAGACCGGGGAAGAAACACGGGCAGAGAGACAGACAGCCTCGTTGCAACGCAGGGGGTAGAATTTGCCTTCCACAAATGATAACAAGCACAACATCGCGACCCCCCTATTCATGGGACTGTGAGGCTTTCGAACGAATCTGCGACTTACTTTGCATGCAGTGAACCAGCCAGGACAATAAGCGGAGAGCTCCCCGACTCGGGCACTTCTCAACGGATCCCCTTCGAGCCTCCAGGCCTGTCCTGTGGGCTTCAAGCCAAGCCGTAATCCGGACGCCTGCCGATTCATACAGGCATCGCGTCGGCACCTCGCCGTCCAACCGCCGTCGCAATGTCCCCCGAACAGATCAAATCAAACATTCATCGCTTCCGCGTCCGACAGACATCCCCATCCTCGGCAGCGCTGCGTCGCTCTGCCTCACCTCCCGCCGTTCGCCATCCCCCGCCATCACCGGAGGCCACCCCCGATGTCTCATCTTCATCGACAACATTATTAGCACCAGTCTCAACGGCCCCAGCCCAGCCCCCAGCTTTAGGACCGGCCCCATCTGCGCTTCCGTACCCAAGTCCGACCGCAGTCACCGCCAACGCCTCGGCCTCCGTAGTGCTCTCCGCTGTCCCGGCATCGTCGTCGCCCAAGACGGCCCGCGACATCCCTGCCTGCGACCGCTGCCGCAGCTTCAAGAAGAAGTGCAGCCGCACGTTTCCCGTGTGCACACTCTGCGCCAACGCAGGGCACAAATGCTCTTTCTCAACGCCCGCCGCGTCCACCGCGGCCCAGACGCATCATCTGCGAGCCCGTATAGAGTGGCTTTCACGCTTCATCAATGACAACTTTCCCATTGCGGGCATCCCGGGGGTGGAAGCTGTCGACACGGGAACCGACCTCGCCTCGCTGCTGGGTTCGTCGCCAGCTGCTATCGCTGCCGGGCAGCCGTTGGAAACTAACCCGACAACGCCAGCGAATGGGGCCACGCCTGGTTCCTTGAGCGTTGGGAGCAACCGTGGGGAGCCGAGGGACACGTTTACGGTACACCAGCAGCCGCATGGAGCCCCAGGATCTGTCATGTTTGATCAAAGAAGCCTGGCAGTAAACGTAGACTCGGAATCGCCGTCGTCGAGAGGCAATGACCACATACGAGCTCTCCTTCAGCCAGCACCCGAACCCGGGAGGATGCCGGGCATCGAGGGTCTTCGCGATGGAGAAGGCTTTACATCCTCTAGCTTGCCAAAAGATGCCATTGCACGACGGTTCGTTGACGCCTACTTCCGGAACGTGAACCGGGCGTACCCGTTTGTCAACCGGGTCAAGGTTCTGCGAGACCTTGAGTCCTTGGGAGAATCAACCAAGAGACGCCGAGATGCCGACTCGACATTACTCTACCTTGTCATGGCCATCGGATGCACCACTCTTCAGAGAGCTGGCCAAATACCGAACGACACGGCGTCCAAGTTCGACGTGGCGTATGCCGACATCATCCAAGAGTGTTTGGCGAGAGAGGATCTCGAGTCGATTCATATCCTCGTCCTGGTAGCATTGTACTCGCTCTTCGACCCCAAAGGAATCTCAACGTGGTCTATAGCCGGCATCGTTTCCCGTCAAGCCATGCTGCTCGGCCTGAGCAGAAGATCTTCCGAGGACAAGAGGCTTTCAGCGATGGACATTGAGTTACGTCACCGACTGTTTTGGAGCATCTACGTTTTGGACCGCATGATGGCCATCTCACTCGGGCTCCCGGTGGCCCTGATGGACGAGAATGTCGATGTCCCATTGCCCGGCCTCACCATCGAAGAGTTTGCCTCACCGGACCGACAGCATTTCGCATCCATCCTGCAGACGAACCGGCACGTCATTCAGCTCAGACAACTAGAGGACCGGATCCTGAAGCAGATCCATACGCGAAAACAATCCGATGTTGCCGCACTCTCACAAGCCGATAGACGAGCCATCGTACAAAACATCAGGTCCGACATAGAGAATTGGTATAGCAACGGATGTCTCGTGTCCCCGCTAGAACCGGACAACGTTCCTATTCATAATTCGGTGACCTGGCTCAGTGCCAGATACTACCATCTTCTACTCCTGCTCCACTACCCCTGCCACTTCAACTCTTGCGGCTCCATCGTGTCTGCGGTCGAGCTCCTCCGTTTCGCACAGAAGCATCTGCAGTCGACGTCGGTCCTTTTGCAGCAGCGACAGCTCCCTTTGAACCGCGTGACACTTTGCCGGCTGTTTCCGGTAGGCCTAGTCCTGATCCACAGCTTCATCGCCTGCGCCGCAGAATGCACATCTTTCTCGGCTCGGGATGAGGTAGCCGTTATCGTCAGCATTCTCGAAGCCTTCCCCGAGGGCTGGACGCAAGCCCGGCAAGCCGCTCACGTCTTCCGCCAGTTCATGAGTCTCATCTCCGGCGTGCCGAATAACGGCTACACCACCCTTCACTTCCCGGGCAATGTCTACGGCAACGGCCAAATGGCGTCGTCGCGGGAGTCGTATCAGGCGATGGTCAGGCCCATCATCACCGGGCTCGTGACCCTGATGCAGGAGGTTCTCGGTAGGTCGACTTGCTACGCTTTCCACGAGTTTCCTGATGACTGCGGTGGGCTGCCTTCGGCTTCGGCAGGGTTTAGGGGTCAAGCAGCATTTTCTCCCACGGGTCCAGCTCGACATTCGGCGACAGTTGGGAACGATGACTCTTCTATGGACTACGGCTGGGGCTCGTTAGAACTGGGTTTTCTCTGAACATTTACGTTGTTTCACAGAGACACATTTCCTTGTTTCTCTTTTCTTTTTGTATTTGATACCATAATGCTTGACGACGAATTCAACTTGACCCAGACTTTCGTATGTTAAGTGAAACCTGATGCCGTCTTCATTGAAACGCTATTCAAGACTCAACGGCTTTGATTCTCTGGTAAGACTTGGCTATTAACCATCCCGTATATGGCACAGCCCTACCGTTGTAACCGACATACTGAAGATATACTGAATATAAGCACTATGATAGACTGGGAGAACACGCAGCAGCAGCCGCTGTCTTAAGATTATGTTTGGATGTCAAGTACTACAACTTTCTGCATCGCTTTCCCCTCTTTGCACTCCATATCTGCGACTCCCTTTGCTTCACGTTTGTGAATTCATCAGTCTTGCATCTTCGACAAAAAAGCACAAAGTCGCTATATAGAGCCTAGCAAGTAGATCGCATCCCCTTCTCGGCAATCATCTTCATAAAGCTAAGTTCCTACTCTATCGCTTTGGTTCCCGCACCCATGGAACTGGCAGTGGGGTACAGAGCCTCTAGCTGAACCTCCTTCTGGTGGATCACTGGCGCTTCTTTGCTGCCAACCATCATGATTTCAAGGGCGTTTCCGTTGTCATATTGCTCGTGAGAAGAGCAAAAATGGCGTTAGAAAGGTCCTCCGACAACAAAGCAAGATCTTCCAGTGGTAGACGATTGCGGCAGAACTCCTGGTCAAACAAAGGTGTCTGCTAACGTTTGGTATTACACGGCAACTTGGCCCCTCACAGGACGGTAGTCACGTATTCTTGTGGGACCAGGACATATAACGGAGTTCCTGATGCCCACCAACTGCTTCAAACCCTGGAGGGACTTCACAACACTGAGAATAGCGGCCTTGCTCGCGAAATAAAAAGGTGTCTGGATTGAGTGGATGTAGGCGCCCATACTGGAGACCCAGAGCAGGTTCCCCTTAATCTCATGGTTCTGCAGCCAGTAGTCAATGGCGATCTGAGCGAGACGGATTGGGCCTATTGTGTTAACGTTAAAGGTGTGGTATGAACCGACCGCTGCATCGACCTGGTCTTTAGCCGCGGCGTTGTTGACGACAATGTCGACGCGGCCGAAAGACTTGACAGTTGCCTCCCAAGGGAACTGAGCTATACCCAGTTTGTGACGTCGGTCTTGTGGAATGTCGCAGATGGGCTTCCGTCATGGGAGGAGGGGTGGGGATACTTTGCAGTAGTCGCCTCGGCTTCTGGGCGGAGAGCCAGGTCTGCAATCATCACGGAACAGCCTTCATTGAGAAGACGTTGTGCTATCGCAAGACCAATGCCTAGATCCTCAGTACGGTTCATGAGTTTAGCGATGTTCTCCGTTCAAAACAGTCATTACATCCTGAGGACTACATAAAAATAACCGTCGTTAACTTATGAATAACGGTTGGTCTACTGGATCCTGCACTTGTGATCAAGGGAATCTTTCCTTTCACTTCGTATTCAAAGACGATGTTTTAAATAGATTTCGTAGCTAGTAAATAGAATGAATGGAGGGTTGAAGCTGTAGGTTCATTGCTGCAAGCGTCTTGACCATCGGAATTAAGAGAAAAGGGGTACAGTTGCATCGCGAGTCAGCCCGTCTGGCAGGCAGGGTAGCTTCTATATGGCACGGGATATCCGCTTGCATTAACTTGATTGAGATCGCCACGGGCGAAGAGTCCGCTTCCCCGAGTAGGGATGGCTGCTGATGTGCGCTTTAACACACGCCCATGCGTTATTACATGTAACAGTATATGAAGAGAAGCTCTTTCCGGAGTCTAATAAACAGATTCGTTTCTTAGAGAGTAAGTTATGGCTGCTGGCACTTAGGAAATTATCTGAAGTCAACAACAGCGAATTCAAATTGAAGCCGACCTGACGTCAAGATAGGTAACCGAGCCCAAGCTACAAACCCGCGTCAGCGTGTGAGTACCGGGAATGCGGGATGGTCAGAACCCTTTGAAAACGAGCTTTTGATTAGGGCTCCCTGCTTTTGCAGTAGCGTACTTATCACCAGCCGTCAACTCTTGTTGGTGCTATATTGTATTCGGGTTACGTGTGGAAAACATGGGAAATTCTCTCAGGCGGGGCTGAGGACTTTCGAATAGGCGTGCAGTCTATTTGGACATATGTTTATTTGAAAAAAATATTATGGATTCGTGGTGCCTACCGGCACGCGCCAGAGACATTTCAGAATAACTTCTAATTTCCATTTCCGACCATATCTGGGCGTACTAGAAAGTCAGGTCTTCTTACTACCACCATTTCTTTTGCTATCCTTACATCCGTCGTAATGGCTATGCGTTCATGCATTCGAGTAAAAACGAAAATGCTCGGTGTGTATGATTGGGCTATGCTGGCCGGATATTTCAGCATTTCTTGATGTCCGATTCCTTCTATCGACATTGTTGACAGACCTTTGGTTGCTTCCCCCTTAGACTATCAATCTTGCCCAGTCGGGCTCTTTTATTTACGGATCTTTTACTGGAATAGGGACCCGAGATGAAAACATGACAACAGCTACAGCCTACCAGCATCGAAGCTTATAAGGTACGCACTGAGCAGCTTTGCCAACGAGGAAGGACGTTCCATTACTAATGGCCCTTCGTTCTCTATACCCTTCTCATTTGGCAAGCTTTGTATGCAGGAAGTCTTTGCTTCATTAAGTTGAGTATTTGCATCACCCTCACCCCCACAACCAACGAGGGAAAATATACTTACATATTCTTCGCGGCCTTGTTGGCCTTTCCTTTCTCCTGAGCGGCACTGGCTTAATCGTCATAATCAATCAGTGCCAACCTCTCGACCGATATTGGGACAAGAGGATGCCGGGAACATGCTGGGCCGTCATTACTGCCACTGCATTGTCGTATGCAGCATCCGTCTCTAATGTCATTACTGACTTCACAGTCGCAGCTATCCCGTTTTTCCTGCTCCGACACGTACAGATGCGGTCTCGGCTGAGTTTATACGTCAAAATTATTCTGGGACTGGGTTTCCTGTATGTACACACTGGCATCATTATCATTGGAGTGGTTTACTGATGTCAGGAACTTAGGTGGTGTGCTAAGCGACAATAGTACTCAAGAGTATTCCAAGCGATCAGGAGGCACCAGTATCGTCACGTTTGGCCAGGGGAACGTACGGAAAGAGTGTATTCACGAAAACGAAAACAAAAACGAATTGGGCTCCACGATAATCGGGGGAAGGGACAACGATAGCAACAACAGCAACCATGGTGACAATACCAAGAGTACTCGCAGAATTGTAAAGGTCACAAATGATGTAGAACACACAATCTCACAGTCAGACGCAACAATGCTAGGTCAAAGCTGAAATTTAGTCAATACAGGCGTCTGAAATACTGCCCAGAACACGATACCGCTTGTGTGTATAGTATGCGTTCACAACTAAACCCTTCAGTGCAAAGGATACGTTTAATAGACTGTGTTATGTAATGAAACCTGCTCTCCACATGCGGGAGCTACTAACAGAGCGGCTTTCTACGGTTAGTCCACGTGGGTATCGTCCTGTTACCATACTTCCATGTGCATAGTACCTCTAAAGGTTACAAGAGACAGAACGCTTTGCGCATTACTTTAACAAATGCTGTTTTAATAGTCAATGCCAATCGAACTATGGAAGTTTGAGTCTTCTTCTGCCATTTTGTCCCCCAGCCTTTGTTCCATTATTACAAATTGGAAATGCAAGTCAAATGTTCAGGTGCTCTCGAATCCTGCCAAGAACCAGCTCTGGTTTCTCAGCATGAACGCCATGGTTAGCGCCTTCAACTCGGAATAGCTCGGCCCCCGGAATTCTTTCAGCAATCAACTTTGAGTTTTCTAGGCGATATATATCAGCTGGGTGGGGTTTGAAACCACAGGATACGACAATCTTACCGGGAGGGCAAATCCAGTCCTTGTCACCGACAATGACTAATGTCTTAGCCGTGATCTCTGGCAACTGATCCGTGTAATCAAAATACTTTTCTTTCTCGGAATATAGATCATCTGGTAGTGAATTGAGCTCATTTAGGCATGGTAGGTAAGTACGGGAATGTTGCATGGGCTTACTGTGCGATTCAGCAACATAAACTCCATCAAGATTGCTCCTCAATGCCTCATCGGGATCGAACGACTCTTTGTAAAGCGGCATCATTGCGAAGTATATTAGTTGGAATTCTAGATCGCTCTCATAGGCCCCAAAGACCTTGTTCTTCAGCATGTCGACAGAGAAGCTGGGGACTTTATGAATCCTTTCCTCCAGTGTTTTGATGGCGCCAGCCTCATCTAAGAGCGTTAACAGTGCTGCCAAGTAGAAAGTTTCGCATGCAGCCGTGACCTACGGTGATGGGACGGTGCTGTTCCTCTGAGGATCAAATGCGAAACTCGCGGAGTATACTTGATGGCGTAATGTTGTGCTAGAAAACCCCCGAAGCTGCCACCGCAAATGATGACCTGGTTATCTCCAGCGAAACGTTGTCTCACTCCCTCAATATCATCAACAATTTGCTCAAAGGTGTAGGGCTTGGTCAAGGAGCTCTGGCCATGTCCCCGATAATCAAATGAGAGAACCCGGATCTTGTCGCTGAGCTGGCTATAGATTTTGAAATCAGACCTATGGTCACCTGAGCTCATGTTAGCCACCTCGTAACTTATCCCGAATCATGCTGGTGAAGCCCACCCATTCCTCGGCCGCCATGGAGTGTAATCATCAGGGGAGCATGCTCGGGCCCGGCGATGCGATACGCGAGACGAGCACCGTTGATGTCTACAAATTCAATCATTTTGGTGGAAGTAGCTCAGTTAGGGACAAGAAGTGATACGAAATCCGAACTTAGAAACGGCTGCAAAGTTTCTACAGCCGTCACGAATGTATGCCGGCAACCGCTGGTATGAGATGATGCCCCGTCGTTTGGTGGTGCACTCAGCGAGGTTGAATGCCGATGGCGGGAGCCAATCGTACCTGAAGCCGACGAAGCGGGGGAGGATTCAGGCAAACGGGGGATAGAACGGATAGTGCTTGGTGTTGCGAGTAAGGAGCCGGACAGAACCCGACCCGATCTTCCGAAAAGGGGTAAAGACATAGGCCCCTCCCCGATAGTGAACCGGGGGGGTTTTGTATGGCGCCATAGTGAAGGCGCTTTATCAAATTACACTAAGACGACAGCCGATGTCACCCAGAAAATTCTGTAATCGATTACGGTGCCGTCGTCGGCTCAATGCTGTCCTTCCTACAGGGGAGGCATCTTGAGATAAAGATCTGCTGCTCACCCAATCTTCACCTCCAATAGGTAGGGGAACCTCTGCCAGCCAACTCCACTGAGTACCCACAGAGCTTTCTGTCCCCCAAGTTCTCGTACGAGAATTTCTGAAGCCGCGATACAGCGACGGTAGATGAAGCAAGTTGTGATGGCGCACCTAGACCCCAACGCCTCCAACGCCGCCAAGCCGGTTGACCCGATCGATCGGGTCCAAGACAAGGACGGTATTTCGACAACGTCCGGCATCGCCGCTGCCGCCGACAGCAAACCGGAGCCCCCACAGCAGCTTCAAGAGGCCGGATGGTTCCGCTGGCACGAACCCGGTACATCACCGGAAGAGAAGAAGTTGATCTTGAAACTGGACTGGTTTTTGCTTTCTTACGGCTGCCTGATGTATTTCATCAAACAGGTATGTAACCCGGATCGCCATGTGTGGCTTGGTTGTTGATGCTCACCTCTATCAGCTCGATCAGAACAACATCTCCAATGCTTACGTTTCGGGCATGTCGGAAGAGCTCAACTTCGGTCCTGGCAACGAGCTCTCTTGGATGAACACGTACTTCAACATCGGCACCATCATCGGCGGCTCTTTCGCCAACCTGATTATCACGGTTGTCCGCCCGCGCTACTGGCTGACCGGCTGCCTTTTTGTTTGGTCGCTTTTTGTATTGTTTCTCTACAAGTGCCAGAATGCGCCCCAGCTCTACGTCCTACGCTTTTTCATTGGCCTGTTCGAATCAGCCGCCTGGCCAGGCGTCATGTACGTTCTCGGCTCCTGGTACCGCAAGAGCGAGCTGTCTCGTCGTTCCGGCCTATTCGTCATGAGTGGCGTCTTGGGACAGATGTTCTCCGGCTATCTCCAATCTGCACTTTACACCGGCATGGGTGGCAAAGGTGGCTTGTCGGCCTGGAGGTGGCTGTTCATCTTCGATTTCATCCTGGCCGTTCCCGTTGTGATTTATGGAGTTGTAAGTCGGTTTGCAATTCAGTTGGGGACAGTACTAACGCCGTCTCCAGGTTTGCTTTCCCGATACTCCTCACACCACAACTGCCTTTTACCTCAGTGACTGGGAGAGGCAGCGCGCGCGGGAGCGTATTGAAGAAGAAGGCCGCAAGCCCGTCGGGAAGATGAACTGGTCCGTTGTAGCCCGCGTCTTCGGCTCCTGGCAAGTCTATGCTTTCACGGCCGCCTACTCCTTCTGGACTTTGACGTGCGGCTCGTACATCATACAATACTTTACATTATACCTCAAGTCAACAAGGTTGTATACGGTACCCCAGATCAACAACATCCCGACCTGCGTCGGTGCTATCAACTTCGTGTTCATGATCTCGACAGGCTACGTCTCCGACAAGATTGGCCGTCGCGGACCCGTCTGTTTTGCCGTTGGCTGTTTGCTGACATTCGTCTACGCCGTCTTGGCTGCATGGAGCGTGCCGCATACGTTGCGTATGGCTGTCTTTATCCTTGCTGGTTGCTACGGCTGCTACACACCTTTGCTAGCCGGCTGGGCGAACGAGGCGTGTGGAGGGGACCAGCAGAAGCGTGCCTTTGTCCTTGGCTTCATGGTATCTGTCGGTCAGGCTGTCGTAATTCCCTTCCAGCAGTTGCAGATGCCGAGTGGGCAGGCGCCAACTTTCGCCAAGACCCATGGATGGGGCAGTGCCCTTGCTTTTGTCGTTGCATTGACTGTTTGGACAGGTGTCGGGCTACCATTCCTTCAGAAGTGGCGTGAGTCGAAGGTCAAGGTCAGCACTTGCGAGATTGATAGCGATGAGGCATGATAGACCACGCTAGGTTTCCACCAGTAGCTTTTGTTCGAACGAGAAAAGAGTGCGAACTGTTGAGACGCAGTATTAATTAGTCGGAAAATAACCATATAATGACAAACTTGTAATAAGGTGCCTAAAACAATGAATCAACTGGCCCAAATATAGAAGATAATCAGCGTCAGCGGTCGATTTAGTAGATTATACAAGAAGGCTAAAACTATATTGAGATGAAAGAAATCCCGTAGATTTAGTCGTGTAGTCAGGCATCTAAGTATAATCCTCCCAATCAACGCAGCAAGTGCTATATATATCTAAGCCACTACGGACTTGATGAAAGCAGCGGCCGCGTCGTTGTCGGAGAAATATCCAAGATGGCCATACCCGCTCTTGCTTCCGCAGCCCCCGGCGCTAGCACATCCACCAGCAGAGCAAACACTATCACCAACACCACAAAAGCTCTTGAAATTGCCTGCTGAAATGCCAGATACAGCTTGACCCTTGAATGGATCTCCAAAAGTGACAGCGGCAAGGACGCCCTTGCCGTTGAGCATCCTGGCAGCATTGTGAACGGCCATGGCGCCCTGGCTGTAGCCGGTAAGAATCAACTTTGTCTCTGGGCACTTGCTGAACCATTCGCTAGCCTGACTGGCCATGGCGGTGCTACCAGGTCCAGACCCTGTTGCCTCAGCCGAGATGCCGAGCGTATCGGCAGGGTAAGCGACGCCTTCGACGGTAACAGAGTCGGCGCCGAGGGCCGACTGGAGGGCCTTCTGGAGTCCGGGACCGACGACGGTGCCGAGGGTACCCGTTTCTGTTGTACCGCGGGCAAACAGTATAGTGACTGCTTTGCATCCCGATGCCTGCCGGGCGTCAATAGGGTTGGCAGCCGCAAGGGCGGCAAAGAGGGCGGTGCTAAGAGCTGCTGTCTTCATTTTGAGGTTACTGATGTACTTGAAATCAGCGATGAAGAAGTGTATGTCGCTCGAGAAGTAAATGAGATAGGTCTTGGTCTTGGAGGTATGAAAGAGTGCTCCGCACTGGTAGGCAGGTGTAAGTGGAAAAGAAGAGCAGAAGAGCAGAAGCGACGAACTGAAACGACTGGATGGTTGATTGTTGATGCTCTGTCTTCCCTTCCAACAAACTCCCCGAGTAAGATAGTATCCTCGCCTTTTATCCTCCAGATGTTTACTCGATTAACTGCTTAAATACACGAGGGCAATCACAGCTTTCCCCTTGCCAAGTGTGATTCACATTCGAGGAGGTGAGCCTTGACTTGTCCAAAAATGGAATTTCTAGCGACTCCTCGTTTCATGCTGATTGGTGGCTTCGTCCAGAATGCCGTTGCATATGCGTGGGTCGGCAAGCTTGTTCCTATCAAAAGGGCCAGTTCAGGTTGTCTTTGCGCAGATCGTTCTGTGATAGCACACGCTTGGACGTTGTAATCCTTGCTGCCGAACAAAATGATTGGCCATTGACGGCCAACGGTCCGCACCATCCAAAGGGATTTGGCGTGTCTCTGAAGTTGTTATTTCCCATAAGACATGACCCCACAAGAGACTGATGCCTGAGAAACAATCACTCCGTTGCCGCGCTCATAGAAAATAGCAGGGGTTGCTTTGGGATACCCAGCTACCACAGTGTAGCCTTGATGCCGAGTTTACTGGTCCTCTTACCAGGGTTGAAGCTGTTGAACATGATATGCCGCGGCTTGCAGAGCTGGTGAGGACTATTCCGAAATTGATCATCCTTACAGGACCAATTGGGCGCCAGTCAACTCAAAGAGCTCTCTCTTTCGGGCATATGTTTCCCGTTCCGAAATACGCACATTGCAGCAAGCTGTGATCGGGTCCAACATACGAAACCCAGTGCGTGCGTGGACCATACTCATGTAACGGACATGGGGTCAAGTGAAATGTGGTACTGTGAACAACAAGGAAATTAATGAGTCTCAGACATTGGCTAGGTCAGCAGGGCCGGTTCGTCAATCGACCTTCCATCCGCTCAGCATACAACCTTCTAGGAGTTGAGTAGTATCACTAGGTAATATATCAAAACAATGAGATCTATCTTAGCACAAAAGCAGACCGAAAGTTACCACTCATGGTCTCTGGGTCTGTTTCAGTATTCATTGAGCCTGCCCTGTTTGATGGCCCTCTTTACTATCCCACATTGGATGACCACCGGTCAGGCATCCTCCTCCTCGTATTTATCCACTAAACTTGGACCCACCTCGGGCCGTTGCCTGTTTTGACATGTTTTGTGGCTCCGGTCGTTATCCTTGCCCTCAGCATCATTATCTTTTCATTAAACAACCTCTCCGTACAGTGCAAAGTCCCGAATAACTATTCAGCAAAAGCATTGACTCTTTAAGGCACACAAAGACACTCCGAGTCAAAGTGGCAAGACTAACTCTATGAAAAAGGGTGAGAAACGCAAAGCGAACCAATTTCCGTCGGCTATGTGCTGCCCTACGTCTCAATTCTGAGGGCAATGGTTTCGGTGCTGGCAAGTGATTTTTAGGTCTAAATCAACTCTCCCTCAATGACATTCACTTCATTGACGTCTGAAGCTACGGAAGCACTTTAGTGATGGTGAGGTGCATGACTCCAAACGACCGCCTGTAGCACCATGCCGCCACAACATGCACATGAGACATACTAGTCAGCTGATTCAATGGGTATGAATATCACAGCCTGGAGATGAGAACGACAATAGAGGCTCGGGCAATTGAACCGATGTTATGACGTAGATTACCGCATGCAGATGAATCTTGAGGAAGCCTCGGAACCAAGGTTAATGATAGCATTTCAGTGGTTCGCTTCCATGTACGTTCATGCAAGCTGGGAGCCGTCTCACGTCAGTCGCTTGGCCATCACGCTACGTTGCCACGTTCGTCAAAGGGGAAGGCTTTTAATGAACATAACAAATAACCCCGCACCAGAGAACTTCTTTTTCCATGACATCTTCACTGCTGGTTCTATGACGATAGTGTCATGACAACTTCCTCTCAGCACACTGCGCTTTTCTGCATCGGTAAACTATGATATTCACAGAGCCGAAGGTGGTGCTCTCGGCGGTATTCGCCTTGTGTATACTGGGTCTCATCCGAGTAATTCCAAAAGCATTGAGTCAAGATACGTCTCAAAGCTAATTGTGAATCAGTCATATTTTCTGTGCCCCTTGAAACACATTCCTGGGCCGTGGTACACACTGATCACGCATTATGTCTTGAAGTTCAACACCATTCGGGCTCGGCGAATTCATTACATTCACTCGTTGCACCAACGTTACGGGCCCGTCGTGCGAATCTCGCCCTACCAAGTGGCGGTGGCTGATCCTGATGCCTTTGTCGCCATTCATCGCATAGGCTCCGGATTCTACAAGTCGCCGTTCTACGAGGATTTCACCGGCCCTTCGGGCATCGGTATCGGTCTCTTCTCCATGACGGACCCGAAGAGACATGCTGCTCGACGCAAACTGTTTGCTCGAGCCTTTGCCAAAGCCAGTGTCCGCCAGAATTGCGAACCAGTCGTCCGAGAGAAGGTTAGGAGGGCTGTAGACAGGATAAAAGCAGAAGCCGCTCATGGATCTTCCGACATTCTCCACTGGTGGTTACTTATGGCTTCAGACGTGATTGGCCAATTGTCTTTCGGGGAGTCTTTTGAGCTCCTAGAAACTGGAAAGGTACGGTAGACTCTTTTCGTTTCAACGTTTCTCGATTCGGACTCACAATGTGTCTGGTTATTAGAAAAACGAATTTGTCGAAACGCTTCACGTGACAGGTCTCAGTACCTTCATCAACTATGAGTTTCCGTTGCTTTACGCAGTGTCTCGGTATATACCGATCGGCTCAGTGCAATGGATACTCAAGGCCGCAACATCTGTTCGGTCCTACGGCAGTCGTGCTGTTGAGAACCTACGCAAACACCGAAACAACAAAAGCAACATCTTCGCCGCCGCCCTGGCAGAGTGCGAAGCAGACGAGAAGGGAAACCTGACCGACGAAGACATCAAAATAGAAGCGGGAAATTTCATCCTCGCTGGCGCGGACACTACAGGTTCTACTCTAGCGTACCTCGTGTGGGCCATTCTCAAAAGGCCCGAACTCCAGGCTCGGCTGGAAGCCGAGGTTGCCGCGGTTGATGAGGATAGTGTTTTCGACGACGCTTCCTTGGAGAAGTGCAAGCTTCTCAATGCTGTTATTGAAGAAACTCTGCGTCTTTATGGAAGTGTCCCGGGCAACCTTCCACGTGTCGTGCCACCCAAGGGCGCCACGTTTGGTGGATACCATATTCCCGGCGGGCTAGAGATCGAAACACAGGCTTATACCCTCCATCGAGATCCGAACGTGTGGCCGAGCCCATTGGAGTGAGGGTTTCTTGTCCGTATGCATTTGTATCAGTTAGCTAACTATGGGCCAGGTTTGACGAAAAGCGGTGGTTGGACCCAGCTACGATCACACCTCAGCAGAGGAGTAGCTTATGCCCATTCGGCGCTGGTACACGGGTCTGCATTGGTCTCGATCTCGCCCGTATGGAGCTGCGGATGGCAGCCGCAGCGCTGCTCCGCCAATGTCCCGGCCTCAAGCTCTCAAGCAGCATGACGGACGCGATGATGGAAATGGAGAATTACTTTTCGATAGTTCCAATTGGGCATCGTGTCGATGTCACATTGTTACCATAGGTAATTTGCCTTATCCATTCTTGGAGGGAAATCATTATCGAAATGCACTTTGCACTGTGGCAATTTCGTCTGGCGGGAGCAAGGTCTTGAGCGGGTATTTGGTAGGGTTAAGGCGTATTCATACCAACAGTTTTGATAAAACACTGCCTATTTACCCATCTTACACATACCCCTGCTGGTGCAATCTGACATCAGAAAGCCCCTCAAGCAGCAAGGGGCTTGTCGAGCAATCAGCTGTGGTTCCCATGCACTCCTTTTGTGGGCTAAGGCAGATGGATGGCATGGCTTTGGCGAGAAGAGTTGCGGTCCAAAGCCCATTAGCTTCAATCTGGACCCAGCTATTACTCCGCACAAAAGACCACCAGTCATCTGGTCCGCCATTTGTCAGCCGACACGTCAATTGATATCGAAATGGAGACCTGCCGATCTAGAAGCCGATCTAGAAGCCGAGCTACCCCTCCTCAAGAGTAGGGCTTTGAAAGGGAGTTAAATATCCAGCTTGGCATCGCCGCCATGACAACTCCGTCGCTTTGATATTTCATTTACGCCAAACCACCCTTGACCATGACCGAATTCGTGATCGAAGACAAAGATCTTTCCAGCCTCAAGGGCAAAGTGGTCATTGTTACTGGGGGATCATCGGGAATCGGCCTCGCTACGGTGGCCACGCTTCTCTCGCATGGTGCCTCTGTCGTCAATGCCGACATCAACCCGCCAGCCCAGCGACCGGAAAGGTCTTACTCGTTCGTCAAGACCGACGTGACCGTTTGGGCCGATCAGGTTGCGCTATTCAACGAGGCAAAGAAGGCCCACGGCCGTATCGACCACGTCTTTGCCAACGCTGGCGTGGGCCCCAGCGCCAACTACCTTTCGACGGAAGTTGACGCCAACGGAGATCTGATCGAGCCTACCCATGCTCTCTTGGACGTTAGCTTGAAGGGCGTCATGCACACCGCCACGCTCGCTATATATCACATGCGGCAGCAAGCGGAGGGCGGCAGTATCGTCATCAATAGTTCGACGACAGGTTTACAGCGGCTCCGTGCTGTGGATTACGGTGAGTCATGCGTCCCTCCATCTAGAGACCCCTCAGCTGACCCAATGGTGCAGCTACCGCAAAGCATGCTGTGCTTGGGTACGGTCGTGGTCTCGTACCGCTTCTTGAATCGGCCAAGATACCGATTCGAGTGAATATCCTGGCTCCAACTTGGGCGGACAGCAACGTACTCCCGGACCTGAAAGGCTTGATGGAGAAGGTTGGTGTTGAAATCCAGTCCGCGGAGGCTGTAGCACGAGGCGCAGCCTTGCTAATGGCTGACAACTCGCGCAACGGGCATGTGATCCATGTCCAGCTTGGGAAGTACAAGGAGATTGACGAGTCTGTGCTTCTGCCCGCGTTCGAGTCCATCAGGGGGCCTGATTACCCGAACGAAGACGAGGTTCTACGTCGCATTCAAAACCTCATGACCCCCGGTTAGGGGGTCGGCGTCATATAGCACAGTATCACAGTCCGAGTACAAATCAATATCTCTCGCAAAGTCCAACAAGTTCATGTCATAGCCTTTGCCCGCCAACGGTCTGGACGTTCACTGCCGGACAGTCTACTATGGCGGCATGCGGCAATAAAGAGGTGATGGATATAAAGGTATGATGGGCATTAGCTCAAAGCATAGAGAAGCCTCCAGAAGCTGATATGGTCTGCCCCGTCACCCAATTGGCCTGAGGCTCGGCGAGCATGGCAACGACCGAAGCAACGTCTTCTGGCTTTCCCATCCTGTTCTCAAACGGCGTCATGGAAACAATCATCTTGACGTACTGGCCGTGAGCGTCAGACGCCCCAGAGTCCCGAGCCATATCCGTCTCGGTGACACCGGGCTCGACGGTGTTAACGGTGTGACCCGCCGGGCCCAGCTCCGCAGCCAAGGCGCGTGTTAGGCCCTCCAGGCCGGCTTTCGAGGAGAGGTATAGGCTCGCAGAAGCGTAGCCGCCGCGCGCTGCGACGGAGGTGATGTTGATGATGCGCCCCGGGCGGCGAAGATGCGGAATCACGGCTTGTGCCATGAAGAAAGGCCCGCGAAGGTTGACGTTCATGCTTTCCTGGAAGTCCGCGGGTGTGACCTGCGACACGGCGAGCTTGGAGGTCACCCCAGCGTTGTTGACGAGGATGTCGATGTGCTCTCCAAAGGCTGCAACCGCGGCGTCGACGACTTGCTGGGGGGCCTCTGTGGAGGAGACGTCCGCCTGGACGGCGATGGCGCGCGTCGCGTTCTCTAGAGCGTTGATACGCTCGACTACCTCCGCTGCTAAACCTTGACTTGTATCCGAGACATACGTGATGACGACCTGTGTTTTCTTGTTAGACATCATTGTCTTGAGAGAAACGATGCGGTTGAACTTTGTCTTTTACGGACATTTGCGCCTCTCTTGGCAAGCTCAATGGCGATAGCAGCCCCAATACCACGCGAACCGCCCGTCACGATGGCGACTCTGTTGCGCAGCGATAGTGGCTGATCTGAAGTCATGTTTCTGACTGTGATATAGGCGTAATATAATGATTGAGTTGAATAATCAGAGGAGGGAGGAGAAGAACAAGGAGAAAGAAAATCAAAAGAAAGACGAGTCTCTCAACATTTCACCAGCAGTTTGAACGAAACAACAGCTTTGAGGAAATGCGGGGTTCTGAGGCATGTCGACAGGGGTTGTCAGGTTCTTCAGCGGGAAGAAGATGTGCCTGGCCAGCGGGGTCTAAAGCCGTTCACAACATCCAGCATCAAGATGAGGTTATGTCTATCAACACACGAACCGATTGATCCCTATCTCAATATACACGCTGTCTTCTGAAATGCTTTCTGTGCAGGTAACCGCACAATGATCAGTGGCCCTGGTAGTGTGGGTGTGACAACATAGTCAGCTGAATATCCAACATCTTCCGCAGTGAACCGAAGCCATGATTCATGAATTGCATGATCCTGCATTGCATACAATAACCAAGCCCGCCGCCCAAATGTTGACTTAGATCAACACTGAGCACGCAAATTTCGTCCGACAACAGCATGGGCGATATCCCTGGCCCCGACGGAGGATCTTAACGGCCGAAGCGGTTGCTACTGTAAGTCGTCTCGTGCTGAGTCTACTTGGAGGTAGCTTTCCCCGACCTCTGGATGTCGACAAACATCGGCCAAACCAAACAGCAACGACTGTGACTAACCATTGCGCGTTTGCCGCATCCAATAAGAACCCCCCACGGTTTACCGCAAGCAGTGTCGCCAAGCTCCGGCCGGCGACCGGGCGTCACAGCCATCCCGGTCCGGCTCGCGAGGCCAGCATGGGACACGTTGACGCGGCAAATAAGGTTCCGGAGCACGCATGCTTTGACAAAGGGTGGGTTGAATTTCGTCGGCAAGATGAATGGCGCCACAGTCTGGACGTCCTTCGGGCAAACGCCGCTTCCTGGCATTGGGGCGGCGGCGACGGCGACGATAAGCCCACCCAGGATGTCCTCGTCGGAAAGGCCCCGACAGCAGTCCACTACAGCGGAAACAGCCCGGTTGCACGCAATTACGCGCCGTCTGAAGAACCCGATGGACGGGATTCTGGAACGCTGGCGGGGGGGGGGGGGGGGGGGGGGGGGGGCGATCGACAAGCCCCAGGACTCCTCAGCAACGGCTACCGTAGGTGGGGGACTGCTTGGTGTTGTTTAGATGGCAATGAGATTGTGTTATTAATGCGCATGATCTCTTCGTTGCCGGTGCGGGACGGGATTCTCGCTCATAGTACAGAGAACAGAAACCGTGTCTCTCTTCCCTTCCACCCGTTCTCAATCGCAGCAGCCAGTGTGTTCACCCCCGAGAAGAACCAAATCGTTGTTGACTCATGCGCTGAAACGGCCATCAACTCGCGCAACCTCCCGCCACCGCTCTAAGACGAACGGCCCGCACGCACAAACGCCGCCATGGCTGCCGACATCAGGGTCTCGATCGACCGCGGCGGCACCTTCTGCGACGTCATCGCCCACATCGACGGCCGCGAGCCCCTCATCTTCAAGCTCCTGTCCGAGGACCCGGCCAACTACCCCGACGCCCCGACCGAGGGTATCCGCCGCGTCCTCGAGGCCGTCGAGGGGAAGCCCGTCCCCGTGGGCGAGAAGCTCGACGGCTCGCGCATCGGTACGTGTCTTTGAGATCGGGGCAAAGGGAGGGGGTGTGGGGGAGGGGGGGGGGACCCCTTCGAGTCTTGAACCAACTCACTGACGAGCGCCGGAATCCAGCATCATGCCGCATCGGCACCACGGTTGCCACCAACGCCCTCCTGGAGCACAAGGGCGAGCGCTTCGCCTTCCTCACGACAAAGGGCTTCAAGGACGTCTGCGTCATCGGCGACCAGTCCCGCCCCAAGCTCTTCGACCTGGACATCCGTAAGCCCGGGGCCCTGCACGACGCCGTCGTCGAGGTCGACGAGCGCATCGTCCCGGCCGACTACGACCTCAACCCGACGCCCCTCAACGAGGAGGCCGCCGTCGCCGCCGCCGAAGCCGGCGGGGACGCCGGAAGCCTCGTGCGCACGGCGAGCGGCGAGCTCGTCCGCGTCCTCCGCCGGCCGGACCCGGACGCCGTCCGGGCCCAGCTCCGCGAGCTCCGCGACCGGGGCTACACCTCGCTCGCCATCTGCTTCATGCACTCCTACCTCCACCCGGCCCACGAGGACCTCGTCGCCTCCCTCGCCCGCGACCCGGCGCTCGGCTTCGAGTTCGTCACCACCTCGGCCGCCGTCTCCCCGACCATCAAGTTCCTCCACCGCAGCACCTCGGCCTGCTCCGAGGCCTACCTCTACCCCGTCGTCCGGCGCTACGTCGACGCCTTCCGCGCCGGCTTCCGCGTGCCGCCCCGCCGCCTCGACTTCATGTGCTCCGACGGCGGGCTTGCCGCCGCCGACCGCTTCCGCGGCAACGAGGCCCTCCTCAGCGGGCCCGCCGGCGGCGTCGTCGGCGTCGCCGCCTCGTGCTACGACCCGGACGACGGCACCCCCGTCATCGGCTTCGACATGGGCGGCACCAGCACCGACGTCTCCCGCTACGACGGCCGCTACGACTACCTCACCGAGACCTCTATCGCCGGCCGCACCGTCACCGTGCCTATGCTTAACATCGCCACCGTCGCCGCCGGCGGCGGCTCCGTCCTCTTCGCCCGCAACGGCCTCCTCGCCGTCGGCCCCGAGAGCGCCGGCGCCCACCCGGGCCCGGCGTGCTACCGCAAAGGCGGGCCCCTGACCGTGACGGACGCAAACCTCTTCCTCGGCCGCCTCGTCCCGTCCTCGTTCCCGTCCATCTTCGGCCCGAGCGCCGACGCGCCCCTCGACGCCGACGTCGTCGCGGAGAAGTTCGCCGCCCTGACGGCCGACTTCAACGCCCAGACGGCTGGGCGGGGCGCGTCGTCGTCGTCGTCGTCGTCGCCCCTGGAGCCGCGCGACGTCGCCCTAGGCTTCCTCGACGTCGCCAACGAGACCATGGCGCGCCCCATCCGCAACGCCACCGAGGCCCGCGGCTTCGCGCCCGAGGACCACCACCTCGTCTCCTTCGGCGGCGCCGGCGGCCAGCACGCCTGCGACATCGCCGACAAGCTCGGCATCCGCCGCGTCCTCATCCACAAGTACTCGTCGCTGCTGTCGGCGTACGGCATCGCCCAGGCCGAGCTGCAGCACGAGGCGCTCGAGCCGTACGGGCGTCGCCTGGGCGCAGACGCTTCGGCGGCGATGGCCCACGTCGCCGCGCGGCTGGCGGCGCTGAAGGCGCGGGTGGGCGCGGAGCTGCGCGCCCAAGGGGCGGAGGAGGCGTCGGTCGCGTTCGACGAGAGCCTCGTGCTGCGGTACTTCGGCACCGATACGAACCTCACGATCGCGCGGCCCGCGGACGGCGACTACGCGGCAGCGTTCGAGGCCACGCACCTCCGCGAGTTCGCCTTCTCGATGCAGAGGGACGTCGTCGTCGAGTCTATCAAGGTCCGCGGCACGGGCAGCGCGGGCGCGCGGATCCGGGAGGCGTCGGCGCTGAAGGAGCTGGCAGCCGGCGCCCACGTCCAGGCCCCGGCGCCGGGCGAGATGCAGGCCGTCTACATCGACGGCGCGTGGCACGACACAGGCGTCTACCGGCTCGACGGCGTGCCCAAGGGCGTCGTCATACCCGGGCCGGCGCTGCTCATCGACCAGACCCAGACCATCTTCGTTTCTCCCACGTTCCGGGCCTACATCCTCTCCTCCCACGTCCTCCTCGACAAGGTCTCTCGTCCGTCACCTTCACCCGCCCTCACTACCACCACCCCGACTCCCGGTCTCCCCTCGTCATCTCCCGACCCGGCTGTCGACCCGATCCAGCTCTCCGTCTTCGCCCACCGCTTCATGGCCATCGCCGAGCAGATGGGCACCACCCTCCAGCGCACCTCCATCTCGACGTCCATCAAGGAGCGCCTCGACTTCTCCTGCGCCATCTTCTCCCCCTCAGGCAAGCTCGTCGCCAACGCCCCACACATCCCCATCCACCTCGGCTCGATGCAGTTCGCGATCCAGGCGCAGCACCGCCTGTGGGAAGGCAAGCTCCAGCCCGGCGACGTCCTCCTCACGAACCATCCGCAGTGGGGCGGCACTCACCTCCCCGACCTGACCGTCGTGACGCCCGTCTTCGTCGACTCGGACCCCTCCTCGGCCGCAGGCGACGACGACGACGACGACGAGGACGCCGCCCCCAGGCGCCAGGAGATCGCCTTCTACGTCGCCTCCCGCGGCCACCACACCGACATCGGCGGCAAGGGCATCACCTCGATGATGCCCGAGTCCCGCGAGCTCTGGGAGGAGGGCCTCAACGTGCCCTCCCTCAAGATCGTCTCGGCCGGCGTCTTCCTCGAGGACGCCGTCGTGGCCGCCTTCGAGCGCGCCGGCGCCTTCCCCGGGTGCAGCACCTCCCGCCGCCTCGCCGACAACATCTCGGACCTCAAGGCCCAGACGTCGGCCAACCAGCGCGGCATCGTGCTGCTCCGCAAGCTCTGCGCCGACACCCCCGGCGGCCTCGCCGTCGTCCACCGCAACATGGCCGCCGTCCAGGCCAACGCCGAGGCCGCCGTGCGCGCCTTCTTCCGCCGCCTCGCCGCCGACCACCCGCGCGGCCTCGAGGCCACGGACCACCTCGACGACGGCACCCCCATGCGCGTCCGCGTCACCGCCGACCCGGCCACAGGCTCCGCCGTCTACGACTTCTCCGGTTCCGGCCCCCAGACGTGGGGCAACTACAACTGCCCCGTCGCCATCTGCCACTCGGCCATCATCTACACCGTCCGCTGCCTCGTCGGCGTCGACATGCCCCTCAACGAGGGCTGCCTGAGCCCCGTCGAGATCCGCGTTCCTCCCGGTTCCGTCCTGAACCCGGGGCCGCGCGCCGCCATCTGCGGCAGCACCCTGGCGAGCCAGCGCGTCATCGACGTCATCCTCCGCGCCTTCGGCCGCTACGGCGCCAGCCAGGGGTGCGCCAACAGCTTCGGCTGGGGCATGGGCGGCAGGGACCCGCACACGGGCGCCGTCGTCAAGGGCTGGAACTACGGCGAGAGCATCGGCGGCGGCGCCGGCGCAGGCGAGGGGTACCACGGGGCGCATTCCGTCCATGTAAGTTCTTTGTCTGCCTCCCCCCTTATAACTGTCCGTCAATGAATAAATGAGGGAAGTGCCGAAACCTGACCAACGTAAAACAACAGGTCCACTCGACAAATACCCGCCAAACCGACGCCGAGGTCATCGAGAAGCGCACGGCGGTGCTCGTCCGCCGGTACGAGATCCGCCGGGGCAGCGGCGGGGCTGGCACGTGGCGCGGCGGCGACGGCATCACGCGCGAGGTCCAGGCGCGCATCCCGCTGAAGTTCAGCATCCTCTCGGACCGCAGGGTGTACCGGCCGTGGGGCATGGCGGGCGGCGGCCCCGGGCAGAAGGGCGAGAACTACGCCTTCCTCTCCAACGAGGAGGGCGGGATGGAGAAGATCAACTTAGGGGGCAAGGCCATCATCAACCTAAAGGAGGGGGAGTACGTGCAGATCAACACGCCCGGCGGCGGCGGGTACGGCGGTGACGAGGTGGAGGACAGACATAGGGGGTATGTCTGAAAAGCTGTGACGGAACCCGATCGGACAGGCGAGACACGAGCCATCAGAGCGTTTTCGGTGTGAAGAACGACCTGACTTGATAAAGCCAGGTATTACTTGGCAAAAAAAAAAAAAAAAAGTACCTAATCCAACTATCGTATACGACTTGACCGTGCCCGTATAGCACAATGTGGTATATAACATCGTCCCATCATTAACGTGAACCCCCTTCCATTATCAACTCTTCGGGATATCATTTGCAACTAACTTCGCACCGACTTGCATGTATGTACTATACTGTACGTACTATGATGTACTATGCTCACACGACCTCCTTGTCAAGCTTGGTGTCGACAGTTCCCGGCACAGCGACGTCGGCGATGGTCTCGTCCGAGAACTTGAGATCTTCCTCGACGGCAATGGTGTCCTTGATCCTGAGGAAGATGATGGGGGCGCCGACGACGAGCGCGCCGGCCAGGGAGCCCCACGAAGCGGCGAACATGGTGTTGTAGTCTGTACCGAGACCGTCGAGACGCCAAAAGACGGCAGCGCCGGCGGATTGGATACCTGCGAATCGTTAGCGACCTTTTTATCTTTCAAAAGGGCCCCCCGGCAACCGAGGAGGAGACGGGCGCAGCAATTACCCTTGTAGAAACCTGCCAGGTTGGCGGCCTTGCGGGCAGAGTTGGAGAGGGCGCCCATGTACCAGTAGACGCACGTCTGCCAGACGGCGTCGAAGAAGCCGTAAAACATGTAGAGGAACATGGGGCCGATGTACAGCTCGCCGCCGTCGGTCCAGTCGACGGTGGGCCAGTTCTCGTCGCCCTCGATCTCGCTGCGCGAGGCCTGCTTCTTCTGCCAGGCGTAGCCGCCGCCCCAGACGACCATGGTCAGGACGAAGAGGGCGACGAAGGAGGCCTTTGCGCGCACGCTGCGGCGGACCTTGGCGAAGTCGAGGGCGTAGCCCATGACGAGGGCGCCGATGATCTGGGAGGACCAGTACAGGAGGTTGTTGAGGGAGCGAGTGCGGGTGTTGAAGTGAGGGGCGTTGAAGTCGTTGAACTGGTAGGTGGTGAAGACGTTGGAGGTGAAGAACATGGGGAAGAGGAGGACGATCCAGGGGTCTTGGGCGAGGGTTTCCCACAGGCCCTTGAACTCGGACTGCCACGAGGGGTTCTTCATAACGATGACCTTGGAGCCGTCCTCGCGGATGATCCTGGGGACGTCGCACATGAAGAGGGCGAGGATGGCGCCGAGGAACATGAGGACGATGAAGGCGGCGTAGGTGCCGTCGGTGACGGTGTCCCTCGCGGTCTTGTTGATGTTCTGGCCGAGGGGGATGAGGGCGCCGATGACGGCGCCGAGGTTAAAGATCATCCAGAACCACGAGATGTAGCGGCCCTTTTCGTTCTCGGTAGGGTAGGACATCATGATGGCGCCCTGGCCGGTCCACAGCAGACCGGCGCAGAGGCCGAGGAAGGCGCCGGCGAAGACGACGAAGCCCTCGTTCTCGGTGTGAGTGTAGGACAGGAAGGAGGCGGCGTAGATGCAGTAGCCGAGGCCGCCGAGGCTGAGAGTCAGACGGAGACCGAGACGGTTGGCAAAGGTGCCGGCGAAGAAGGCGGCGATGGCGAAGGTGGAGTAGAGGGCGGTGTTGGCGTCGTTGGAGGCCTGTGTCGAGACCTGGCCACCACCGCCGAGGCCGCCGAGGGCGTTGAACATGCCGGGGCACAGGAAGCAGACGAAGGAGACCATATAGAGCTGGATACGGGGCGAGGCATACCAGAGCTCCTTACCCCTGACGCGGAAGCCACGATACATCCATCCGGCGGGGCGAGGGACGGAGCCGTCGGCGGAGGAGGCGGGGGGCTCCGGGGAGGGGTCGGGGTAGCTCTGAGCCGCAGGCTCGGGGGCTTGTTTGTCGTCGCCGGAAGCCATGTTGGCGGGTGGTGGTAAAAAGCAGACGACGGCGCGGCGACGTGAAGAATCAACGATTGTGTCGAACCGTCAGGGCGGCTTGGCTTTCGGTGACTGGGGGGATTGTGTGGCCGCCGCTTGGTTCTCTCTCTATTATTTTTTTTCTTTCCCTTTTCCCCTTTTCTGTTCAAGTGTCGGAGGTTGGAAACTTAATCGTGCCCAACGACGTAGGGGAGGGAGAGGGGCAAAGACAGCCGATTAAGTATCAACGGCACGAGGTGAAGGGGACTAGAGATGAAGAAAGCAGCTAGTAAAGGCGCGCGAGGGGAAAAAAGGGCCGAGGGAGGCGTGCAGCTTCTTTATGGAATGGTTTATCGGGCTGCAGGTTGCAGTTGCACTGAGCGATGATCGTTGGTGGAGCGTGGCGTGTGGGAAGAAGTGACCGGGGTGAGGATTACCGGTAGAGAGAAGTGTGATTGGGGAAGATGAGTGCAGGGAGAGGGTGAGAGAGAGAGAGAGAGAGAGAGGGAGATGGCAGCAAACGAATGTACTTTTTTGTTGCTTGGAGGTTTGAGACAAGGAGATGGGACGAGGGACGGGGTGGGATTGGAAGACACTACTAGGTTGTAGATTGCAGTAGACAAGCAAACGGCGTATATCCGTATTGAGTTTCTGCAAATACTCAGGTGCCTATCCGAGGACAGCACAGAACGGGGGGAGAACAAAATAAAGAATTTGCTAGATGCCAGGGGGGGGAGGGATGACTTTGATAGTGTGCGAAGGAAGGGAAGTAAGCCGGCGCCAAGGACCGATTAAGACGGGACGGACCAGGATTGGATAAGGCAGCCTGGGAGTCGGGAGCTACCCCGGTCGGGCAAAGGACGCAACATGCGCAGTGGCCTGCAGGGTAGCAGCAGAAAGGGTTGCCTGGCTCGACGCGACGGATACACACGTTTGATAGCTGGAACGAGATGCGTCTGTTGGTGGCGGTGGTGGTGAAGGAATGGTAGGAGGCACTTTGGAGGTGTCGGACGGGAAGAGATGTGTGTGGCAATCCGCCGGCGAGGATTGGATACGGGGATGCCGTCTCTCAGCAGTGTGTGTCCTTCACATGATGGAAGAGAGAGAGATAGAGAGAGGGGAGATGTAGTATCCATCCGTATCTAGGCACCGTATCAGTAGGTAGGTAAGTAAGAACTAAGGTAGGCAAGGTAAGCTACGTGGAAGCGTACCTCTGCACTACTGCGAAGAAGGATGTTTAGCGGCAAGCCTCCCGCAGCTTTGAGAGCGCGCGCGCGCACGCTACCACCCCTACCTACGTGCCGTACACTGGTGACAACAATGGCAGATGGACGGTTTGCCGGAAGGATTCTTTCTGCGAGTCGTGGTGGGGAGCCGGGGTCGTGACTGGGTGACTAACTGGGGTGAGGTGTGGGATTGTGGGATTGATAGGAACCGAGTCCACAGATATGGATGGGGAACCAAGTGTGGACACACGATAAGGTGGTCCGACCGAGGAATGCGAGATAGGAGACAGTCGCTGGGACTACTGCTGGAATAAGACTGCCACCCACCGTGTTTCATCGAGTACTCGATTCGACAAACAGCAGGTGTTTGTTTGTATGTATGTGTACGTATGTATGTTCGGGCAAGGCGAAGAGAAGAAAGAGTGTACACTACCGTAATTAGGTATGCTACGTACCTTACGTAAGGTTACCTAGCGAGGGAGTATACTACTAGTAAAGGAGTAACGTAAGCCCAGCCCCACATTACCCCAGCCCAGTACCTACCTGTAGTAGTATGTTCCTACCTAGGAAAGGAAAAGGGTCCCTAGTCCACCACCATCCACACACCACACCGCACCGCACAGCATCGCATCGCACTTGTGCCGTCGCATCGCTGTCGCATCCAAGGCTGGGCTGGTTTGCTGGATACGAACGAGTTGGACACATGCCGTGTGTCTCGTTTCTTTGTTTGAAAGTCTTGGACTACTGCGTATGTTGACGAGTAACAGGTATGGGTGGGTAGGTACACACACCATGCAGGGAGTATCATGTACGTACTGTGCTGTACGACGAATGCTACTTGGTACGTACATGTACTGCTACTACTGACTGTGTCCAGGACTCGTCGTCTCCCGCGTCTTGTCGTGCCTTCTCTCGATCGCGTGCCTTCCCTCGCGTGTCTTTTCCTGCCTCCTACCTCCTTCCTCCTCTCCGCAACAAACCAAGCAAACATACACAGTCTGACAAACAGAGAAGGAACGGCCGTATTCTTCAAGTACCAGTACCAAAACACGCACCTGCCGTCTGCCATCTGCCACTCATCTGCACCTTCCCCCCCTCCGTCCTCCCGTGTATATCTCTCCCTCCCCATGGTCCGTGCCCCAGGGTATACATGTAACGTTCCCCCATCCATCCAACCATGAGGTGGACGGACACCGGCAGTGCTCCGTTCGTATCTCATCGGTTAGCAAAGCCAGCCTCCATTCCATCAATCGAAGCATACTATACCTACCTAGGTAATTTACTTTAATCGGTATACACACACCATCAGACAAGACAATGAATCCTCGGTGCACACACCTCGTTGGTTCGTTACACAGATAACGGCCGGCTGCATCCCTTCTCATCCATATCCTCCTCCGACATGCCTCTCTACCTTGTGTCTTTGTTTATTCCTTTCTGTCTGTCTGTCTGTTTTCATCGCCGTCCACGCCCGGCCTCGAGAACGAGACTCAAAGGCCTCCGTAGGTCTGTCCGGCTTCCAGTCTGCAGATGGATAAATATACGACCCGTGAGACGACTCCATCCATACCATCTATATAACCACGGCCCATCGGTCGCCAATCGTCCCAAGCCAAGATATCACCACTCACTTTTCCCTTCGCCTACCCCACACTCCCGCCGCACACACTCTTCTGGCCCGGCGTCCCAAAGGTTACATCCCCCTCTATCGCCGATACCCAGGCCACCTACTCGACACGACGCGACATGGGGGATCCGCCCGACATCTTCTGCTCTCACCTCCGCTCAGCGACACCCATGTCCGACGTCGAGATAGTCTTTTGCTACCTTGCTACCCTACCCAACCGTCCGGTTTGCCCTCTTCCCAACCCAAGGTCCTGGGTCTGTGACGTTCCGATCTCGTCCAATTCCCACCATCTGCTCCTCACCAACGGCTGATCACAGTCCTTGTCCTCCCTTGCGACACCAGACCGGTGTCGCACCGCGCAACTCGAAGCTCCGCGCCTTACTCTCGCACCTGCATTCTTCTTTGGACCGTTTGTCTATTTGTTTGTGTCCGCCCATGTCCGTCCGTGGCCGCCCCGCCGAGCCGACGGTCTCGCGCCGGCACGGCATCCAGCATCTCCGGGACCGTAAAGTTTCGGACCGGGATGCGGGGACTAGAGACGCCGCCGCGCCCAAGCCACTAAGATATAGAGCCGACTTACCAGCATCTCAGCCAGACACCAAGAGAGAGCGCGCTGGCAGTGAGATAGCTGGGCGAAGTCGATCCCGACGCCAGAGACGACCGACCTTCACCACAGACAAGAAGAGCGGGAATGGGACATGAAACTAACTGGGCGAACACATGGAGCGTCAATCTACATTCGACCGTCCAAACTAAGCTGCCTTTTCCCGTGACATTGAGCCAGCTTTCCTACTTTATGCTTGTAATTGCTCCTAGCTTTGAAGACAAAGGACGGATTGGACTTCCATGCGCCAGTCAGCTCGGAATTGCCATAGATCATTGCTCGAGTGCCTGTTTTGTGCCACCGTCAGCTATGGCGTCTTAGGAAACCCCCCTCATCGTTGGAGAGTTGGAGCTTCTTCCCGTCGTCGATGACGCCCGTCTTGGTTCCGCCTCCGCGTCGTCGGGTGCCGATCCCCTCCTCCGACTGTCCCCTTTAGACACGTGCTGGAGCTCTTCGAGACCCGGGACGACCTCGTGTGCGAACATGCCGTAGCTGTGATACCTTTCCGAGATTTCGTACTTTTTTTTTTTTTTTTGAATCTAGCCCGTTCCCCTGGCGCGGCGTCGGAGTGTTTGAGAGAGACGAGAGGCCCAGGGAATGGGGGATGCTGGCAGGCTTTCCCCCTCTCGTCCTCCCCCGAAGACTCCCTCCCGCCATACGTCGTGCCACCATATAACGCCATCGGACATCCTTGGCATCCGCTCTTCTCCGAGCGGCCCATCTCCAAACTCCCAGCCGACACCACTACGCCACTCCCTCGTCGGCCGGCGTGGGTACCAGGGCCTCCGTCAACTGCAAAACCACCATCGAGCGCGCCGAAAAAGGTATCCTCTGCCCCTGCGCCTCCAACGCGGCCGCGAGCGCCGGCGAGGCCTCCGGTTCCCACCGTCGTCTTCGTCGCCGCCGTCAACATCGGCCTCGCCTTCAAAGGTCCTTTGAGAGTACCAGGCCGTCATCGCCGCCCGTGGCGGAGAAGGCCTCGTCGGAAAAGAAAGGGAGAAGAAGAAAAAGACAAAAAAAGAAAAGAGGCAGCGGGCGTAAAAGACTGTGCCACAGATACATAGGTGTCTCGGGGAGATGAGGTGGCAATTGGTCCCTAGTCAAAATGGATATCCCCCGGGTACAGTGCCGGCCGGACTCAAAATGCCAATTGTACAAACGAGTGAACAAGATCCAAAAGGCGCGTCTACTTGGTCTCTTTCGAGACATTTTCCTCAACATCATAAATCACAAGCACGTAAAAGAGAGTTACTTGAACAGTGGCACGACGGAGTAGTGATTATCATCAGCATTCGATTTTCTTACTCATGGTATCTGTTTCCATCGTCATGAAAGCCGTTATACAGAATTAGCCTACATATACAGTGTATGACTTTGGTCTTTCGGTCACCGCCGCCGCCGCCCTCCCAATTTGCTTTTGAACGAGCCTGCCGCGCCGCATACCGCGATGCCAGTCCCTGGGGGCATCCAAGAAAGACCCATACTGGCTATACTTACAACTCCTACGCCCATTTATTTCAGGCGATCCAAAACCGTCAAAAGTAGGTAACGAAAAAAGTGAACACAAGGCCGTTCTAACAGGGCCTTGAAGCGAACGTTGAGATATTCCAATAAGTGCGGGTAAAGCGAATCGCGCGCCGCATTTCCTATTCGCCGCCGACAAACACAAGGAGGACTCCTCAGCATCCAAACAATGTGGCGGATCAGGTCCAGCACCGGTGTTTCCAGTCCCGGCGGTTGAGGCCTCAAGCCCAGGCAAGAATGAGGGCACAGAAGCAGATGAACGCCGGGTAGGAATGTCATTATGACATAAAGCCTCGAAGCGAGGTGAGAAAATGGGGTATCAAAAGTGAAGCAGAATAAGAAAAAAAAGCAAAAGGTAAAAGTTCGTTGCCGAAAATGCGGAAATGATGTTTGTTGATCGAATAAAATGTCTTCGACACGGGCGCATGACTCCGAGACGTTACAGTGCCGCGGGCGTCGCGGCATTGCGGTCTCGGGTCATCCAACCAAAGATATCGCCGCGCGGGGCGCCCGTCGCACTGCTCTGGGGTTCGGCAGGCGTTCGCGCCACCATCTCGCGCGGTTCCAGAAGCAGGCTCTTGCGGTAGTACGTGACTTGCACGTTGCCCGGGTCGCCCTCGCGGACGCGCACAATCTGCGCCGTCATCCAGTCTTGCATCTCGGGGAGCTCGGTAAGTCTGTACGGGATCTGGAACCGTTGGAGTTCACCAATGATCTTTGCAGTGCGGGTATGTTTATCAAAGTTGACGACGGTCATGCCACCGCCGTTCTCCTCAGAGCCGTCGCCGCCAAGGGTGGGGATCTGCTTCGTCGCAGGGTTGCCAATGTCGACAAAGGTAAGATCCGTGAGGAACATGCCGAGGAACGGCAAGCAAGGAGGGACGTGGTCGTGCAGGCGAGTCCGCAGGACCTTGTTGTTCTGGGCGGGCTCGACAATGGCCTGGAGCGTCCGAAGCATCTCGCGGCGCTTCACAGAAACGATTTCCCACGTCTTGCGTAGTCGGCTGATGGTGCTGCTGTTCAGGCTGCAGATAATGGCCATGAGGCCGTCGTAGTTGTGAAGCTCCAGGCACTGGTGAGCAATCTTGATCCATTGCTTGATGACAGCCGCTCGCTTCTTGACCTCGGAGTAGTGAAGGATAGTTTCTGCGACTAGGTTGGACAGATCGGTAGAGAGGGCCGACATGGCCTTGACATTGGGGGCATCCACTCCGCCCTTCTTCATCCACTGCGAGGAGAGAAGCTCCTCCGGCATGATGGAGCAGAAGATGTTCATCTGCTTGATGGTGAGCTGGCGTGCGATCTCGAGGGGCTCAAAGTCGAGGATGGTCGGGCTGCTGCCACCGCTCTTCCACGTGAAGAGCTGTTGGATCTGGCTCTTGGTAATGGCCAGTGGCGGGTGTGGAGTGTCGGCCGGGATGTACTGTGCGATCGAGGTATTTGTCTTGCCCATGGAAGACACGAGGCGGGGCACAAGCGCAGTGTCCTTGGACACCCGTTGGGCCAGCTCGAGAAGCCGCTTGCCGGCAGAAGGCAGGACGGCAGTAAGCTCGAACTGGGCAAAGGGCTCGATAAGGGAGAGTGCCTCACGGTCGGTCTCGTCACGCCAGTGGGACTCGAGCCAGCCCTTGAAGGCATTGTACACACGCAGCCTGACGGGGCCTGCCATGTGAGGGGCCTCGGCCACGTAGTGGAAGCGATCAATGAGGGTTTCGGCCAGCTTGTGAGGGCTGCAGAACAGGCGGAAGGTAAGATAGAACGTCGAGACAAAGGTCGCGTCGGGAGTGGACTCGTGAGTCGTCAGGCGCTCAACGAGGGCAGCGAGAGAGCCGCCGGTGACCTGGCCCTCCTTGTTGAACATGAGCTCGTGAGCGTACGTCTTTTCGAGCATCTTAAACTCGACGTCGTCTACTTCTTCGTTGGCGCCCGTGCTTCCGGCGTTGCTGAGCTCTGAAATGGACGGCTTGAGTTTTGGAGCCAGCGTGTGATCCGGAGTGGTTGCACGGGTAGAGGTCTGGGATACGAGGCTGGCCTCGGAGTCCCGGCTGAGATAGGTGCTGCTGCTGCCGGCGCTCGACGCGGCCATGCTGTCAACACGCGAAGAAACATTGTCGTCGGTATCCTGGTTTGTGTTTTCAACAGAGCCATATTCATCTCCCGGGGGCAGGGAGGTGGCGAGTTTGGGCAGAGGTGGGAGCGCCAGCCGGGTCGAAGAGCCAGAAGGCGGCATGTTCGAAACATTGTCGCTGACGAACGATGAAGGCCGAGAGCTGGGAGCAGACGAGGTCTGAGACGGGGGTCGACGCGGATGAACTTGGTGCGACTCGGAGCCGTCGACCGGCGGGAGCTGAGGCAGCGGCTTGTCGTTGGCGATGCTCGGCCTTTGTTGGTGGTGGGGGTTTGACGACGCGACGGAGTGGCCCGAGTCAGAATTCCTCGCCGACTCGGCGACGCTGGTCGCATCGGTCGTCGCCGTGTCGGCGACAGATGGAGCAATCGACGAACGGCGGTATTGGGACTCGGGGGCAAGGTCGAGCACGCTCAGGTCAATGCCCAATTCACCGACCTCGAACTCGCACTCGAAATCACCAACACGCTCAATCGCCCATTTGGTCTTGGCCACGCACTCGCCAGCGGCTTTGACGCAGCCTGTAGCGGCCGTCAGCAGCATGCTGTTGTCATGCGGCATGAGAACGTCGGCGTCCTGGAATGCGGCGTGGCGGATGATCTGGCCGGCCGCAGTGACCAACTCGCGGATGCGCTCAAACATCATGTCCCTGGCCCGCTCCAGCATCTCCGAACTAGTGGTCTGCCCGCTCACGACATCTACGACAGCCAGCAGTTCCCCACCGGACGTCGCCGACAGCTTGATGGCAAAGGCCAACTCCGGCCGCGACTGGGACTGCAGGTGCAGACGGCCAATGAAGGAGCCCAAGTGGGACAGGAAGGTGTCGTGGCTCTTGTTGAGGCGTTCCGAGACAAGATGCTGCGGCCTCGACAGAGGAGAAGGACCAGCCAGTGAGACGCGATGGGAAATGTTGGCTGACAGCCGTTTGACGTTCTGAGACAATCGGTTCGTATTAGGGCTACTGGGCGAGTACGCCGTCGAAAGCCGCTTGCTGCTCAATGCCCTGGATGCTTGTGTACCGTCGGCCGGGGTCGATGGTGTACTCCGGGTGTGTGTCCCGTTTGTTGGTCCTTGGATTCCTGCATTGCGAGTCTCGTCGAACCGGGTGTTCTCCGCAGGTGGCGTCGGCGGGATATACGATTCCTCAATGACTGTTGCCATGACGGTGACTGCAGGGGCACGTTGGCGCCGATCATCCTCGAGGATATCCACGAAACGCACGCCCTTGGTGACGATCTTGAAGGCCTTGAGTATCATCTCGTCGATAATGTCATTGATGTCTTCCCGAGGTTGGCCGAAGCCTTTCTGCGCTTCCTGTAACCGCTTTGCCGTCTTTACTAAGCCCGACAGCTCAGAAAGTAGCAGCTTCCTCGCCCGCCTCAAGCCGTCATTGCGAGTGATGATGGCAGATTCTCTGGTCAGGCAGTGGGTGCGTTCCTTGTTTTTGTGTCAGCAACACGAAAGCACGGTGAAAGCTTGCGGAGCAGAGCACCAAAAGGGTTTCCGGGAATAAATAGCTTACCAAAAGATAGCGCACTCCTGCGATGATGCCCTTCATGAACTCTTGGTTACCAAAGATTTCCTTGTCGTTGACTGATGTGCTGCGGAGCAAATCCCAAAAGTTGAGCAAGGCTTTCAACAGATTTCTCATTTCTTCCGGGTCGTACGACTCGCAGTAGTTGGTCGGAAGCCACCCCCTCGCACCAGATACCAGTAGCGTTCCATCAGCCCAGCCGTTGGTGTGGATGGAATGCACCAAGATGACGTCGCCCTCGTTCAATGGCAGGGTAACGCTCGAATCGGTCATGGCATAGCTCGGGTGGAAGGGGTAGAAGGCTCGCAGGAAGTTGTGGAAGACGGGCGGCGGCATCTGGTCCGCGCCCAGGTCTTCCTGCGAGCCATTGGGCGTCGCGGGTGGTGTCATGTGTGTTGTTGGATATGACCTGGAGCTATCGTGGTTTTGTTTCGAAGACGGGACATCGCCGGATCGGGCTCTCTGAAGCTTGAGGGGAGCCACTTGGAGACTGGCACGCATGGAATGGTCGGTCAGCATTACCATGGCTGATGCAAATCTCTCTCGTGGAAAAGCATGGGCGGATGCGGTGTAAGTGAGATGCAAGCGATGTTTGGGATCCTAAGGTTCGAGGCTACCGCGATGTTGGACAGGTCCGTATTAAATGCGGTAGAGACACACGAAAAAGTCCGGTCCAGCCTGCGCCTTGGATACGGAAATCTCGTTTGCTGCGCCTCTGCAGTGTCCTCGTGCGGAAATCGGATGGGCCGCTGGGTCAATGTGCGCCGATGGCAGCAGATGCCGGGTACAGCTCGAGATCAAGAATGCGCTGCGCCTCTGGCGT